GTACAACTTGCATCGTAAATAATGACATACTTAATATTAAACACTCCTTCTTTTACATGATTAATTTGTGAAATATTTCTGTTTTTAACACAAGATAAAAAAAAACAAGAGGCTCATAATTTATCCGACTGTGTAATAAATTCAGTACATAACTTACACTCATTCAATATTGATTTATGTTAATTATTTAATTATAGTACAAAATATATTAGGAGACTAACATATGTATTTGTAAAAACTTGATACCTGTTTGGTTCCCGTAGAACAGAAACATTTTCTGGCACTTTTGTATTCTGCCGTTTAGAAACGGGTTCTTTGGGAGATTCTCTTGAACTGTTTGCATGTTGCTCACAGTCATAATTGTCGTCAAGATACATCTTCAACTCTGGAAAAAACAACAAGATTTTTAAAGGCCCTTTAACGTATAATGTAACATTAGATTTTATTTCACTCATGATTGTATAAAATGTTTAAATACGTGTTTCACCCCTTTTAACAGATAATCAAAAAAATAAATTCTGCAAAACATTTCAAGTTTAAAATTATACTAGTTACCCAAAGCATTACAGCAGTCGGTGTATGTTTTATACATTTTTGTAAAGTCCTAAAAAATGTAATTATCAGATAAATGGTTTCAACTTAATTTACCATATACAGACTGGTTCTTTATTTCATCTCAAGAACTATTATGACCGTGTGTGCGTCTTTTGGGTTGGCCAACTTGACCATGTTTTTGTGGCAGCGACCTCCTCTGACTTCGTGGTGGTAAAGCGCTCTTACTTCGTCTTTTCTTCTTTAACTTTTTATCCTCAACTGCTAATATAAGGAAAAATGAGCGTTAACAACTTGTGATGGTGCAATTTTCCAAATGGAACACCTCTGTGACTAAATGAAGTTTGACAGTCGCGATTTACTATGTTCTCTCCATAAAACATTATAATTGGAAAGTAACTAAAGATGTGATTACTACTTTAGCCAACATGTCTTTGTTACAACTAATATTCCGTAAGCTGTATTGATAAAAGATCGTCGTGTAAACGGTTTCATGACAGCAAAGTGGTTTACTTACATTGAAATCAACTGAAAACAGTCAGAGCCTTTTTAGAAATTAGCTAGTATTCAAAGTTACAGATATTACTGTCCATGATTAATTCATGATTCAAATGGACTTAAATACACTTTAAGTGTTATGAGATTATAGTAAAACTTAAGAGAATATAATAGAATAAGTAATCAGAATTCTTTTAAATCTTACCTTTTCTGCGATTTGCCGATTTTCTTTGCGAGTCTAGCCGTCTTTGTGTGCCACATAAAGACTTTGCCCTTTTTAATGAACAAACTTTGTTCATTCTTGAGTGAGCTTTGTAGTCGTTTCTTGTTAATCTGTTCATAGTTCACTGTAAAAAAGTTTTTCATACATTAGTGTGCTCACAAAAAAAAACATAAACAAAACAAACAATAAAACAAAAGCAACAATTTATTCAAGATTTTCGATTACCAGTGTTGTTTAAATGAGCATAGAAATCAATTTTCATAAGTTGAGAATAACAGGAGACTTAGTTGTTACGGTGTCTTTTCTAAATCTATGAAGAGATGATACTAAAGTCATAAGCATTTGTGAGGAAGCGCAATTGAAAGTGAATCAAATTTATTGTGTTTAAGCTTTTATCACAAACGAGCTAAATAAATATTACATTTTAAACTTAATTTATTTTGTATCATTTTAAATCTCTTTACTGACCATAACATAACCGAAAAAAACGTATTAAATAAAGACACTATAAAAAAAAATAATAATAAAACGCATCTACATACCTTTACGTGTTGATATCTTATGTTGCGGAACGTCGTTTCTATGACAAGTTACGTCAGAGAATTAGATTATGATTACGTCATGACAACGTTACTGACGTGATGAAAGTATAACAGAAATGGTCTGGCATGAATCTTTTATTCTTAATCTCTGATCAATTTTCTTAATCGTTAATTTTATTTCACTTAACATTAGAACATATTACACAGGCGTTAGCAATAAACATGGCGAAATATAAATCGAGAGTCTTAATCATTCTTTTGTTTATTTCATAGCTGTTCATAGAAATATGTATATATTTCAAATGGTTTTCAGCATTTTATTTTTCTCTTAGTCTAAATTAACACAAAAATATATATATACATTGCTCGGATGTGTTTGATGGGTCAGGTGAGTGATCTAGGGCCATCTTGGCCCTCTTGTTTCATATTTATGTCCCTTTTTCAACTTAGAAATTCTTTGTTAAGTTTTTGCGTGTAAGCTGGTATCTCTATAACTACTGAAGGGTATGTGCCTTTTTTGGGACAATTTCATGCATTCATAATAATCTTGAGCAGTGATTTACTCGATAAAACATCTTAATAACAAGCCTTTATACCTTTTTGGGACAATTTTATACATGTATATTCATATAGGTAAGCTTTATTATACTCAATGAAACACTCTTGTGACAACTTTTTCGAATTGTCGAGCGTCGCTGTCCTCAGACAGCTCTTGTCTTTATATTTTATTCCTTATATTACTAAAAAGTATTTTTGTGACTTGAAACATATTAAAATTAAGAAGACGCCAAAATATTTAACAGCTTTATGTACAAAAATATTTCAAGTTTAAAGTCATCTTTCGCTATAACATTTTACAATTTTGGGCGGAGTAATGATAGTTGAATAACAAAATATGTCATAAAGTACAGAATGCACCATTTAGTTTTATATATATTTTACACAATTATATAAGTTAATGTGCATGCCAACAAAAAGCGATATCACTAACAGTGTGATTGATACCGATTTTATTTCATTGATATAAAAAAATTAAAAACAAGTATTTCATTGGTTGGCAAAAAAATACCAGGTTCTGTACAGCATCTATAGGTCTGATTTTTTATTAATCTCAAAACTTTTTTTTTTGAAAACTTGTAAAATTATTCTTTGGTGTATAAATTTTTATATTTGATTATATGAATGTTGTTTTTTTTTACTGTCAGAACGGTTCAACCTAAATACACATGATTTTAAAGCAGCAGGCCTCTAGATGAGCAAAAATATTTCAATAAAATCAAACCTGAGAAAAAAGTGCTAAGATTTTAGGAAAAATAAAAAGATTGACAATTCTAGTAATAATTTACATGTTATGTGAGATTAGTGACCAATTTTTCAGTATTTATAATTTTATTTCTACTGCGTAACTAATGCAGTTAGGGCTATTTTTGCATATTTTGACATCTATTTGGTAATTTACACGGGTTATTTATAGAAGTGCCAATGATAAAGTGTGACTTGCATCCTTATGGTAACTTCACAATATTATACATGTACTGTTAAAAAGATATTCAAATTTTCACGAAAATTAGCATGAATCTGGAGGCATGCTGCTCTAAAGGGACTCCACTGAGTTTTTTTTGACATGCGATTGGACTGATTTTTTTTTTTCCAGATAAATGTACCATTTGATGTAGGTTTAGACAACTTATCTTTGTGCAAATTTCAAATTATTCACGCACTTCGTTTTTCCAGAATAATTATTCAAATTGTAAAATAATGACAGAAAATGAAAAGCGTTTAAACGCTTTTTACTCAAATCGGGCTAAGAAACGCATACAAATATGATTTTCAATTTATTTCAAAGTATATTTCTTTACTATCTTTGCATATATTTCTGTTTAAAGTGCCCTAGCTTATTTATGTAAGAAAATCAAATGTTATGTTTTTAGGCTTTTAAACCTCAGTGGAGTCACTTTAACATCTCAATAAGTTTATTAAGTGTTGTATTGTGTGTACCGGTAGTGATATGCAACATTAAACTTGACTGAAAATTTCTTTTCAGCCCAATTTGTATGATTTCATATAAAACTTTATCTAAACAGCTTATCATTGACACAAAATCATTTACTGTAACATATCTAAATCATAATTTCTGTAGCCAAATATTAAGTAAAATCTGAGAAATTGATAATGTCAGAGTGAGCCCTGGATATTGTCTGAAATCTCAGGGCAAAGAAAAAGAAGGCCTTTTGTTTTAAGCAACAACTGTCCACAGATGAGAGAAATACAGCTTCAAAAAATCAAACTTTTTACAGTTTAACTAATATAAATATTTACAAACCCATGGTAAAACTTTGAAGGTAGTATGATTTTTTTTTTCAGAATTCAATAAATATATTATATTCACCAGTGTTACTAATGAAATAAGACAATGTTTTGCAAGGTCTGGCAAATTTTAAATAATTAATGCAGATAGTTAAGTGTTTCAGGCCAGGTTTAATCACTGACTGACAGCATTTTTACTAATTATAACAAACTTTTGAGTTTTCATAAAAATAACACAGATTTGAAGACATACTGCTTTAAACATTATGTACATGAAATTTACATTTACATAATCAAGGATAGACATTTTGATACAACATGATCCTGTCATAATTTACTTGGAGTATAGATTGACCATCGCATTGAGCATGCTGGAAGCTGCTTTTATAATGGCAAGTCACAATAAATATTGCCTGACTCTTATTAGCACCTGACCATTGACGTAGGTACTTGTGATCCTTTCATGAGCACCTTCAGTAGAAGCTGGCAGTCCTTTGAACATGCCACATATAGAGTAATAACAGCAAAAATCTTTATTATTTTGATGAAATGGATTTTTATATACAAGATAGAAAATAAGTGTTGAAATGGATTTTTTGATAGACGCTCATAATATTACAATGGAAATCTGAACAGATTTTATTTTTATCACATAAAAGTTCATAAATTTCAAAATTTTGTGAACGTTATTACAAGTGACTTGATTTCACTTAAAGAAGATAAAAAACTACATAATTTCATAGAAACATTCACCTTTGAATAAAAATGATTAAAAATACATTATGTATGGTAGATTCTAAAATAACAGCAAAAATCGTTCGAAAATTATAAAAAAAGAACAATATTAGTTTGATAAAAGTAGTGTGTATGTTTAAAAAATGAAGCCGCAGTTTATCCAGTCTGTGGCGCACGAGGAGGCCGTTCTCGCCATCATTGTACAACTGATTGGAATGTCTCTGATTTTATCATCAACTGCAATGTTCGTAAAGCAGGAATCGCTTCACAAAGTCGAGAATCTTCAACAGATGAACATTTTACTATGTAGCACCATCTTTCTGATCATAGACTGGATCCTCGTGCTACCTGGGACCTGGCCGTGCGAACTGTTCTCTATTGTATTCATGGTGTTTGGGTCAGCTAGTACTTTCTCCACTGTAGGAATAGCTCTGGGAAGGTATGTGCATTTTCTTGTTTTCTGGGTTTTAAATTTCTGCAAAATACATGTATGTTTCTTTATGCAATTCAAGCAAAATTATTATGGATAATTTATTTGTAAATATTCAAGAAACCCAAGTAACTTGAACTGTATGTTTATAATAGTAACTTAGTTAATTTTTTTTTTTAGTTACATAGAGAAATGCTGAGGTTAACGTATGTGCATGAAATTACATATAACTAAATATTCCATTTAATATTTGAAATGTTAGAGGCTGACCAGTGAAGGAAATGTATTATAATAATTTTATGCTTCTATTTGCTGATAATGAACTAATTCTAATGTAACATTTTGTGAAATACTTTTAAGCACAAGAAATGGAGCAAGTGCTCTTCATCCATTCTTCATAAAAATGCATAGTATTGTATAAAATACCTGTTTATATTATAATCTGATGCTATAATTTATTATATTTTCAGATATAAGAAAATGATGGGATTTTCATTACCAATATCAGACAAACTGTGGATCATTATTGAAATGTTGATTGTTTGGTTTGCCAGTTTACTTCTTGCAGTTTACCCTATATGGCAGAAGGTCACATTGACAACAAAACAGGCTTCACTTGCGAGTAACAAGTCTGAGGAATACAACCCAACAGCAGATAAAATTCAATTTGACGTCTGCTTCTTTAAAGATAACTTTTTGTACAGCAATAATCACATGAGCATTATTTTCATGTGTGGCACAGTGGTTTTACCAGTCGGATCTATTTTATTCTTTTACATCAAGATATTCCAAAGAATTCGGAAAGCACGTCTAAGTTCTTGGTTAAATCATATGGCCTTGCAACGAAGCCAGCAGACGCAGGTGATACAATGTGCAGGCAGGAAAGCAAACGTGTTCCAACTGACATCATCACATCCGAACGACCAAAATGCTCAAAGATTTAATAGCATTTCCTCTAAAAGAGAGAAAAGTGTATTTCTGAAAGGACTTTTCGCAGTTATTGTTGTACTGCTATGTTGGATGCCATTTGCTGCGGTCTGGTTACATGTGTCTATAGTTGGGTTCCAGTGGAAATACATTATCTATGTTCGTTACCTTGTGATTAACGCCAAAATATCAGTCATATTAAATGTAGCCCACTATATTTGTTTCAATGTAAAATATAGGAACTTGTATATACAAACGGTTTTTGGACCATTTACAAACTTCCTCAATACTCTATACACAGAGAGTCAAGAAGTTACCTGCGCTATAGACTCGCAGATAGCCACATGTCCGAAGTCGTCCGGTTTTGATAAATCAATATTTACAACAAGACATTCTAGGACACTTTTGGAACCAATTGAAGAAGGTCAACATAAAGAAACAGAAACAAACGAGAAGCCAAATGTTCTGCAAAGGCGTAAAAGCTCCAAGATGATTAAACTTCAAAGAGCTTTATCCCTGCCTAAAAGTCAAAGAATCAACTGTGTTAGCCCAGTTGAAAATATTCTGTCAAATTCTGTGAGCTAAAACTACAGAGCTTACCAACATATTGATAGTGATAAAAAGATAACTCTTAAATACTAGTATGTGTACATGTATATAAAAGTAGAAAACATGGGGTCCAAACTCTTTTTCATTGGAAAAGAAGAACATAACAATAACATATACAGGTAGAGGAAAAAGACCTGCTTAACACTCTCTTCCAGTGCATTATAGGAGTAAAAAGGGAGACAACTACGAGCTATATTTTGAGACTTGAAATACAAGTACCTATAAAAAAAATCATGGTTATGACTGTAAAATCATATAATAGAGAACATTTACCAGCAATAGAATATTTAATACACAACTATGCAATATCTTATCTGAACTGAAAATATGTAAAAAGGTTTACCATATATTGTAAATTGTATATAACACCCTCTTGATTCCTGCTATATTTTCTATGAAAATATAAGTCTGTACAAAAATGATGGAATTTTGTTTTGTTTTCTTTTTTTGGTTGGTTTAACGTCACACCAACACAGTATAGGTCATATGGCAACTTTTCAGCTTTACTGGTAGAGGAAGACCACAAATGCCTCTCTGAGCATTATTTCAGGCACAAACTGACACCAGAGTAGAACCACCCCTTTCCATAAGCTAGCTGGATAGCTTCCTCACATGAAAGAATCCAAAGTCCTTGTTGAGATGATGTGAAATATAACTTGCAACCTGCGGGAACAGAAAATGATAAGTCTTCACCACCAGTAAGGTGCCAGGTCAGTCTGCACATCTTCGCTGTCAGACCAGGCTCTATACTGTTGGTTGACTATCTTTAAATAGAATAGTAATTGATAAGAAATGGTATTTACACGATATCCAAAAAAGTCTCTCTAGATAGCTTTGTATTTGACAGAATTTTTAATTTTCTGAAGAAAAAAACCCAACAAAAACTTAATTTATTGAGGGCTTGGTGCAAATGGTTGAAAGTCCTTGATGTGTAAGATGTTTATGTCCTTAATGTCAAAGCAGTTGCACTGTAGGTCTTTAATGTGCAAGATGATTAAAAGTCCTTAATGTGCGAAATGGTTGTAAGTTGGTGTGTCAAGTCCTTAATGTCAAAACCATTGTAAGTCCTTAATATGCGAAATGATTGTAAGTCCTGTACAATATGGTTGTTGTAAGTCCTCAATCCTCAATGTGCAAAATAATTGTAAGTCCTGTAAAAAATGGTTGTAAGTCCTAAATGTGCAAAATAGTTGTAAGTCTTGAATGTGCGAAATGGTTGTAAGTACTTTATGTGCAAAATGGTTGTAAGTCTTGAATGTGCGAAATGGTTGTAAGTCCTTAAAGTGCAAAATGGTTGTAAGTCTTGAGTGTGCTAAATGGTTGCAAGTCCTTAATGTGCAAAATGGTTGTAAGTCTTGAATGTGCGAAATGGTTGTAAGTCTTTAATGTGCAAAATGGTTGTAAGTCCTTAGTGTGTGAAATGGTTGTAAGTCCTTAATGTGCAAAATGGTTGTAAGTCTTGAATGTGCAAAATGGCTGTAAGTCCTTCAAGTGCAAAATGGTTGTAAGTTTTGAATGTGCAAAATGGTTGTAAGTCCTTAATGTGCAAAATGGTTGTGGAAGTCATGAATGTGCGAAATGGTTGTAAGTCCTTAATGTGCAAAATGGTTTTAAGTCCTTAATGTGCGAAGTGGTTGTAAGTCCTTCAAGTGCAAAATGGTTGTAAGTCTTGAATGTGCAAAAATGGCTGTAAGTCCTTCAAGTGCAAAATGGTTGTAAGTTTTGAATGTGCAAAATGGTTGTAAGTCCTTAATGTGCAAAATGGTTGTGGAAGTCATGAATGTGCGAAATGGTTGTAAGTCCTTAATGTGCAAAATGGTTTTAAGTCCTTAATGTGCGAAGTGGTTGTAAGTTCTTAACGTGGATAGTGCTTGTAAGTCCTTCTTTATATCATACATTCATTTGCACCAAGCCCTGCATATGTAATACGATGTATTACTTTTTTAATAGGTTTTACGTCCCACCAACACAGTAAAGGTCATATGATGACTTTCCAGTTTTATTGCTGGCGAAAGACCTATGTGCATTTTCAGTCACAAACAGGCACTTGACTAGAGTCGCAGATGTTCCATAAGCTAGTTGGATATCTTTCTCACATAAAAGAATCCAGAGATGCTAGGGCGGTTCAAACCTACAGCAGTGAGAGGAAAGAGGTTTGAACTCAACAACCTTAACTACTCGACCACTGACGCCCCTAAAATGTATTGCTATTATTTACATGTAGTTCTTTATAAATTATAATACACTCCTGTTATATTCATTCAAGCCTGATTTTAACAATATTATCATTATTATCATAAATTATTGCTACCAAAATAGCTGCTGAAGTATATACTGGTACTTCCTGAAACATTTCTATTACTATTTACAATTATGATGAAGAATGGTGCTATTAGATAACAACAGGAAAAGTTTTTTGATACTAGTAGTTGGCGAAAGTGTGATTAATATCCCGTAAGAAAATGTGGGAATTCCAAATAACTCCGTAACCTGTTATTTTACTTTTCACTTTAACATATTAGATCTATATATAGAAGGTGACATTTGTTGTAATTTTAAGTAACTTTTTATTGATGAAATATGGGAAATAAATAATTAGTAAGCTCACAAGATTCTTTTGCAACATTTTTCTATTGACTCTTTGTTTAAAAGTCAATGACATCTCATGACAGATCCTGATGACATTTTGCAATTTTGCCTCTGATCATTATACAAAACAAAATTCATTTTAGCTTGTAAATAAATATTTCAAGACAAGCAAGCAGCTACCAACAAGATAAGGGGTCTTGTATTGGAGTCCAACTTCCAGTCGCTCCATCGATAAACATATTGTTTTAATCATACATGTATATCAATGCAGTCTTTAGATTTACATGACTGTAATAACATTTGAAAAATTTTATATTCCATTTTTAGACAATTGAGATATAAAAGAGGCTGTTAAATTCTTATGTCAGTATTCACTTATTTATACAATTTTCTGAGGACATTTTTTCCTCAGCCACAATCACTACCACAATCACTACTCAGATTATCATTTTTAGCTCAATTTTTCTATGAGAAACAAACCTATTGTTTTGATCCTACTGTATTGTTGGCTTCAGTAGTTGTTAACCTTTTAGCTAAGGTCCATTGCTCAGAAACGATCAAAGCTATTCACTTCAGACTCATTATTATAATGTTTTAAATTAGATGGATTATAATGTTATTGATAAGGTATTTTGCACTGACTATAACATTTTGCAGACGACAGTCTGACCAGGTTCTATACTGTTGGCTGGTCAAATTTAAAATTTCATCTTGATACCCACAATTTGACAACAATAATAATAGACAGTTCCAATAATGAAAGTTTGGCAAGTCCATTTAAGAAATTCAGTCCATTAAGGGAAAAATGAAATAAAAAAACAGTAAAATGGTATCATGATAAAATATAATAATTTAAAGATTCATACTTTTCTTTCTTTTATCATTAATGACATTTCTTAAGTTTTGGGTTTTTTTTTTACATATACATGATATTTACGGAGGAGTTTGCTTGTAATTTTTTGTTTTGTTTCATTTACAAGCAAATTGAGCTCTTCTGTTGTTAAAAGAATTATATAAAATACAAATAATAACTAAACACTGAATATAAAGTACTAAAAAATGTTGCAATATGGTGCTTAACATGTTGCAATTGTTACCTTATTTTGAAAACATTATTAATTTGATGTAGTGATAGTTTAAAATTTGTCTAAGGGAGGTAACCCCTATTAAAATTTAAATAAATATTCATAGGGAGTTACAGTTTATTCTTCGCTTATATTTAGTGATGGAAATCGGATGAAATTTGTCCCAATCGATCATTGGTTTTGTCGGATGGGACATAATCGATAACTTTCGAATAAAGTCGCGTTAAAAAGAAATAGGGAGGTAACATTTCTTACCAAGAAACTTGATTATATTTAGTAACATGAACTTCATTTAGCACTTTTCAACACAGTTTTAACCTTATATAGAGTCATAATTTTACGAAATAGATTTGATTTTTCAATGGATGTCAAATAATACCATTCACATCACATTATATTACTATTGTTTACATCACTTATTGATCCTGTTCAACTCCAAATTGTTTTTGCGATCGGCGAGGTGTTCCTAAAAGAAAATTACTGTCAGAATTAATTCCCATTAATACTTTAAACATTTTCGACGGCGATCGCGGAAATTTTTTTTGTGAATCGATTATTGTCGTTTTACATAACAGTAACTGATTATTGGCGACTTGCGACAATCGGAACATCACTACTTATATTGTAAGTAACAAAATGAAAACCACTCATAATGCCACATTTCAATATCCGGTTTATATGGTTTCATTAAACACATTAGAAACAGACATATAAGAACTGCCTAAGAAATTTCTTAAGAATTATCATCATATTGGTGTAACTTGCAACTTAAATCCAAAAGGGAAAGAAATACAAATCACAATGCAAATTGAAGCAAGTTTTCATTCACATGTTTTGGTAGGGGTTTAAGTCGCTTAGACTCTGTAATGACCTTTATATGGAGACTTTCCACCACAAGTGCCTCTCTTGGCAATATTTCAGGCACATGTGGAGGACAACCACCTTCTGTAAGCTAATTGGATAGCTTCCTCACATGAAAGAGTTAAAATTTCTTGACTGGATTCGAACCCACAGTGGTGATGGGCAAGTGTTTTGAAGACAGCCATGTTAACCACTCGACAACAGAGGCCTCAATCGTGTATGAATCCCTTCCAATTATCTTAACAGAAAGTATTATAAATAGGAATAAGGTACATAGAGTAAAATAATAATAAAACATTTAGCAGTAATATATCATCATTTATTAATTAGCATAAAACATATAATCTTTACTTTAAACATAACAAAGAAAAATTAAACATTCTTGATAAAATTTTGGAACAGACAAAAATGCGCTGTTTAAATATAATCAAAGAAATAGCATATAAGAAATACATGGAATACAAAAATGTACTTTAAAATAAATGTACAATAGAAAATAATTGCCATAAAAAAAAATGATACATTTGTTGGAAAAAATATGATACACAGTCAAATGACTGCTGCATAATTATAAAGTGTTATAGCCTAAATGGCTTATCATACATATTTGAGATTATTATAGTAATCCTTTACCTTGTTATTTTAAAGAAAAGCTGTAAGCAATAAATCACAGAACACCAGATAATCAAAATAACAAAAATATAATATTATTATCTTCTAATAACAAAGCATACAGTTTTGTGATAGAATAATCAATCTTGAAACAACAACATCCAAAATGTTTTCGATACCTGAAATAATATCTATATAAACAAGAGCTGTCGGTAGGACAGCAACGCTCGACTATTCTTAGTGCTTGATAGTAAAAAAAAATACTTGAAACAGTTACCTCCTCCTGTTTACAGGTTGGGGTCATGATGGTGAACAAGAGTGCAAAGTTTCAAAGCCATATGTCAATGGACTTTGAAAATATTTGAACTATTACAAAAACTTTAACGTAAATTCTAAGTCGAAAAAGGGGCAGAATTCTGTCAAAATGCTTGATAGAGTTACCTCCTCCTGTCTACAGGTTGGGGTCATGATGGTGAACAAGTGTGCAAAGTTTCAAAGCCACATATCAATGGACTTTGAAAATATTTGAACTATTACAAAAACTTTAACGTAAATTCTAAGTTGAAAAAGGGACACAATTCTGTCAAAATGCTTGATAGAGTTACCTCCTCCTGTCTACAGGTTGGGGTCATGATGGTGAATAAGTGTGCAAAGTTTCAAAGCAATATGTCAATGAACTTTGAAAATATTTACTATTACAAAAACTTTAACGTAAATTCTAAGTCGAAAAAGGGGCATAATTCTGTCAAAATGCTTGATAGAGTTACCTCCTCCTGTCTACAGGTTGGGGTCATGATGGTGAACAAGTGTGCCAAGTTTCAAAGCCATATGTCAATGGACTTTGAAAATATTTGAACTATTACAAAAACTTTAACATAAATTCTAAGTCGAAAAAGGGGCATAATTCTGTCAAAATGCTTGATAGAGTTACCTCCTCCTGTCTACAGGTTGGGGTCATGATGGTGAACAAGTGTGCCAAGTTTCAAAGCCATATGTCAATGGACTTTGAAAATATTTGAACTATTACAAAAACTTTAACATAAATTCTAAGTCGAAAAAGGGGCATAATTCTGTCAAAATGCTTGATAGAGTTACCTCCTCCTGTCTACAGGTTGGGGTCATGATGGTGAACAAGTGTGCAAAGTTTCAAAGCCATATGTCAATGGACTTTGAAAATATTTGAACTATTACAAAAACTTTAACATAAGTGGTTACGCCGACGCCGACGCAGACGCCGACGCTCGGGTGACTACAATAGCTCTACTTATTCTTATGGAATAGTCGAGCTAAAAATATATTAACTCTAATAGCTTTTATCCTTATGTACTGAACTTGTCATTTTACAAGTTGTCAATTATTTACCCATACCTGTACAGAACTAAAAATACATTTGTCATCAGTGTACAGCTATGCCAGGCTACACATTTGTGCAGTCTGACCAAGCTCTTTACTAATGATACCAACAATTTTTTATATTTTGATATTGAAATTCCTAATACTTCAAATGGACTATTCCAAATTCAACATAAGGGCAAAACCAGCACAAAAGTTCAGCAGGTTAAGTGGTAATATTTCGGATTTCAAGTACTAAAATTATAAATCTGAGCATTCAATGTCACACTGCCCGGTTAAGACTGAACCGGTACAAAATATTCCATCTAACCTGGCTCTTTACTATTAATATAGGAACAACATTGTCGCCAATGGCGCTAAAAAAGTTCAACGACATCACTTGCAGACGACAATCCCAGTCCTTGCTAATCCTTCTCCTCGATGTACAATAACGTTCTCTTCTCAAATTGAAGTTCTTTCAGCGTTTTCTCTGCACTATCTGTAAGCGGTTTCCGTGGATACGAGCTCGACAAAGTATAGTAAGCTTGGTTGTATCCTATAGTGGTCATATAGTCCAGCACAGCCTGTAGTATATACATGCGAATATGCACTAATTATGATAATACATGTTTTATTATCAAATGTTGTATATTACTATTTAGCTGTAAGTCACTTGGCAAAGAAAATTGTTTCATTAGAAGGGTAATATTATTTGATTATAAACCAACATTTTACAGCTTTCTGAGGCCATACAAAACTTTCACACAAATATCATTTACACAAAATTTGATAATTATTATCTGATTCTTTTCCACGGAGAAAAAATCTTTTGAAAATATAAACTGAAAAAAAATCTACATAAACTTCAAACAGTTTCAACATTTTTTGTATTAATGCATATCTCAAGTAAATGAAAATGACCCAAGAATTAAAAGCACTTAAACCTCTCTGGTTCTAGCTTTTACATGAATATAGTCCTCCAAATGAGCTTTCTCAGGATAACTCAGATTCACCAAATACTAATTAAGTCATGTAACTCAAACTTATAATCCTTCTCTGCTTAATCTAATCTTATTCTTCTTAGATATCATACACATTTTGTTTTCCCAAAGTGCTCAGAAAGATTTTAAGCATTTTTATGAAACCAGAATTTGCATCTATTTTCATAGACAAAATATACTTACCTGTAATGGACTTGAATTTAAAAATCTCCTTGATTTTCTCTGGTCTACAGGGGTATGTAATGTTACTGTTATACCATCAGCATCACCATCATCAGGTTCTGGTAGTAGCTTGATCTCCTGTAGGGAAACGATAACAAAATTTGATATTTGCCAATGTTTCTAATACAACACACTTCTGATGTGCACACTTCTTTATACAGACTTCTGGTACACACTTTTGATGCACACTTCTAATACACACTTTTGCAAACACTTCTGTTACACACTTCTTGTGCACACTTCTGATGCACACTTTCGACACACACTTTTGATGCACCCATCCGTTTCTGACCAAGGCTCTATACTGTAAGTAGCTCAATTTTGTATTTTGATACTGAAATCATTTAAGATTTGAATGGACTACTCCATATTGGTTTATACGAATTTATTTTAGTTTGAATGTTTTGAAAGCTAAAAGCTTCGTTAAACACTCTCGATTCCGTTCCTGGAATTAACCAATACTTAGCAATGAGTGTAAAGTTTTTTGCTTGGCTTGCCCCAGACGGGATTTGAATCCACATTGTCAGCAATCCTCAGATTACTAATCCACCATGTTAACTATTCGACCCCACAAATGCTCCTTATTTATTAGAAGCATTACATAAATGTTGCAGGTTAATAGCTAAATGCCTTTAACCACTCATATTGTATGGACTATTCAAAACAAAGCAATCTATTTCTATAAAGCCAGTTAATCAATGAGAGATGTCACTTGTATGAAATGCCAGAGGTAAGTGTGGAAATTTCTTTAAAGGAAGTCAACACAAAATCATTACATTAATTTGATGTGAAGGTTACAAAGATAACATAGGATGATAGCAAATCTATGTTTATCTCACAACTTCTATAAATAAACTTTCAAAAACCAACACCGGGTCAAGATCTGGTGAAACTTAAGTTATGACATCACTATACTCACATACTTTACTTTACCCCCATGATATCATCGTATCATGAACTTTATATGTGATGAATAATTTTCATAAGTACGTATTGCATGTAAATGAATCCTGGTGTGATCAAAGTTTGAAACAGGGATAAATATACTTATACATTGTATAACATCCATGTTAACATTTTCCTCCAAGTAACCATACATTTGACCCGGTCAGTTTGCCATGAACGTATATCATGAACGAAAAAATTTCCAAAGGTGTCATATTATATAAAAAAAATTGTGGATAACTGACAAAAAATAAATTGTGGGTAATAGACAAAAAAATTGTGGATAACAGATAAAAAAATAAACTGTGAACAGCATTGCAACCTGTCACCTCAGAAGAAGCCCTCGCTCCTGCAACAATTACTGTACAACAAATAAATACAAATGTATTGAACTAATATAAAGAAACATTGAAACTTAACATTCACTGATTTAACATTAACTTAAACCTGCAAAAATAGTCCACAAGTATTTTGTTTAAATGGTATATGATATGTACAATATTTGGTTAGCAACCTCAATGATAAAATTTTAAACTACAAGTATACAGCCACATTAGCCTGCCATCTATACAGTCTGACCAGACTTTATACTGTTAGCTGTTCAAATTTTAAAATCCTTCAAATGTACCAATATACTGTTCTGACCTCAATTCAGGACAAGACTATTACAGAAATTCAACAAAGTAAGTAATGGATTAAAATAATCCAAGGGACATTGCTTGACTCCTGTCTCTATTTTGTCCAAAATAAAACATTATTGCATAATAAGAAAATACTTAAAGTTCTTTGATATAAAAAAAAACTACCTTAATACGAGTTATGAATGAACTTTTCACAAACTTTTAAGACTAGTGTTTAACTATTCCATATCTTGAACTGTTTAAATATCACAATGACCTAAAAAGTGCTGGAAAAAAACTGGTGAAGACAAGGTCACTGTAACAAAACTGTAAGATACTAAATCTCTGAATGTCAAAAACTGATAAATATGATCAGCCAAATTCATTATTGACAACTCTTTTTCCATTCATTTTTTTCATATACTGTACATTTTGTACATGTGCATGTATATATTTTTGCCAGTTTTTTTGGCAAAATATCTTAATATGGCATTTTTTCATTATTTCTTTTTTAAATACCTTTTTTTAAATCATCTGTAAATTTTCAAAACACTCCATATAAATTGCATCTTTTTACATACATGTATTTTTATATTAAATCAAAATATTATCCCATTTCAATCTATAAATAAACATGTTCTGTTAATACCTTCAAAGAAGTAATTTTCATTTTGCCCTGAGAAAGCACATTATCCAGGACATAAATAATTTATTAGCTCAAAAGCAATCAAAGGAAAATTCTATTTTATTTCAAATTTAAAATCTGTTTGTTATCCTGAAACAGAACAGAACCAAATTTATTTGACCTTTAACCTTAGCCTTTGCCATTAGTTTAGAGTTAGTCCAGGAATCTTATCAGGCTCTATATTGCTGACTGACAAAAATCAAATTTTCATCTAGATATCCCCCCAAAATGATAATGGACGTTTCCAAAAAAAGGCTGGACAAGCCCATTTAAGAAATTAAGCAGATTAAAGGGTCAATTAACAATTCTGTAACAAGCAATGACAAAACAAATTCTTAACAAAATTAAACTGTTCTTAATTATGTTCTTTAAAAAGTAACAACTTTTAAACCCCTTAAACAGAACATGATTTAAATATTTTTAGTACAGATGTATGAAATATTTTATAGCATTAGAAGTCTACAACAATAGTAACAGTGTATGTATAAATCAATAAATTCAATAAGTGTAATACCTTGCATAAACAAAACAGGTGTTTATTGCATAAGCTGTTGTTAATACTTTTAATACCATGCTCTTATACTATAATATATCACGCCCTATCAAGTTTATAATTCTAGAAGTTTTTCACAGCTTCTCCTTAAACTTGAGTGATAAGCCTTTGCCACCAGTATAGCATCAGGCCAGCCTGTACATGCGGTATAACAAGAATTTGTAACAGAGTTTCCAACGTCCCCCGCCTCAGGGAAGTTTTATATGAAGCATAAAATTGTGCTATTTCAAAAGATTGAGGTATGGATCTCAGGACTTTCAGTCCATATTTATGATCAATGCTAGATCTGCAAATGCAACAATAAATTTATTAAAGAAATAAAATGAAACACGGAATTTAAAAATCTACCATGTTAAGCTTTGACCTCTAAGTGTGACCTTGACCTTAGAGGTAGGGGTGCAGGTGTTGTGCATGACATATTGTCTTATTATTGTAACTATTTGTGCCAAGTATTTTCAAAATCCCTTGAACTATGAAGAAGTTATAGATCAGACACAAAATATACCCTATAACAGACTATGTTAATCTTTGGCCTCTAAGTGTGACCTTGGAGGTAGGGACCCAGGTTTTGCATCTGACATATCATCCTGTTATTGTGATTATTTGTGCAAAGTATTTTTTAAAATCCCTTGATCTATGAAAAGTTTATAGACTGGATACAAATTATACCCTATAACAGACTATGTAAATCTTTGACCTCTAAGTGTGACCTTGACCTAAGAGGTAGGGACACAGGTGTTACGCATGATATATCATCTTATCATTGTGACTATTTGTGCCAAGTATTTTCAAACTCCCTTCCAAACTGGAGGCATTTTTTAACCATAACTGCATGATTCATAAAACTTTTATCAAGGTCTACTAGGCTGTGAATATTATATGCCAAACAAAGAGGAAATTTTTTCAGGCGTATAGAAATATGGCTTGGAGGATATTAAAAGAATCTTACAGACCGGAATATCTAGCTCAAGGGTAACTATTTACGGCGGTAACGAGGCTCTGCCGAGTTTCCGCTTAAACAGTTACTCGAGAGCTAAATATTCCAGTCTTTTTCTTGCATATTACATATAAATTATTTTCAGAACAGAAATTAGGAAAACTGATATTCTCATTACCTACTTTTTCTTATAGTAGCGTATGAACTTACAACTTCACTCATAACGGTTAAGTGACGTCATCCTAAGAACGCAATTCATTCATTAAAAGGCGCACGGCAATGACGTCATTTAAAGCACGCGACTTGTCTTACATGAGGGGTGTAAGACAGGGTTTTCTAGCACCGGTGTAAACGGTAGATAATCCTGTCTGACATGCAAGAATTTCCATTCAAGCACATTTGCACAGTAAGTTAACTTCACTGACATTAATTTTGGCAGGGGAAAACAAACCATTTTTTTTCAAGAGTGTCAATACAGATATGTTTGACCTTATGTTCATCATAATAAACTGTATTGACCATTTTGCTCAAGATGTTTAATTGTATTAATTGAAGTGTACTTGCCGTGGGTCATTTCTAACAAATACAGAAAATTACTGCAACAGATGGGTGCTTACTTTGACTTGAAGAATATAAAAGATAGATACGAATCTGTACTTACTGGAAAAAAATGAACAAACTTATGCTATAGTACAATCTCTGCAGAGCAATATATTTTGCAAAACAAAGATTTTGCTGAGAGTGTTAGTTTTATTGTTAAGTCTTATACTGGAATGAACTGATTCTGTGTTTGTAAAGAGGTCATTTTTCTATAGAAGGCTGCTCTGCAATGGTTGCATAGAACATCTTTTAAACCTCTAACCAAAATTAGTGTCCAGCTTTAATTGTCATCCAATGAAAACGCTGTATTTCTTAAAAATTATGCGTGTTAATTTTCATAGAAGAAAAAAAGTCGATACTATATTGAAATCCGTTCATAGTCGCTTTCTATTTTTCATAACTGCTTCATAGTACCGCGTAGTGACGTAATCAAGGGCCAAATAAAGCTTGACACTGAATATGTTAGTGTTCATCCTTAGCTGTTCTACAGAAATTAGAAACATTCTCCTGTCGCTATCGCTCCCGTCGAAGTTTCTAATTTCTGTAGAACAGTACGGATGAACAGTAACATATACGTAATTTGATTTTCCATCTAAAAAGGCAAATTTTTGTTCTGTGACATTTTATGTAAGGATTAAGAGAGCATGTTATATGCCTATCAGATGGAGCATAGCATGTGAAATAATTTTCATAAAAGTAGCGTAACATTTACAAATTACATCGTCTTCAAACCATAATACTCAATCACTATAACTTCACTTGCAAAAAAGCAAAAGATAGTTCAGCTTTATGTCTATGAGTACAAAAGATAGTTCAGCTTTATGTCTAATGAGTACAAAAGATAGTTCAGCTTTATGTCTAATGAGTACAAAAGATAGTTCAGCTTTATGTCTAATGAGTACAAAAGATAGTTCAACTTTATGTCTAATGAGTACAGTTGTGGAAACTGTCACAGACAAGTCCATTTAATATATCTAGGGAGGTATTGATTTCAGCAACAAGCTGTCTTGCCAGACTGCATGGACTCATTCTGGACTGTATTTACAATACGTAGAAATTAACATGTTTTTTTTCCATTAAAACAGTTTATAAACAATTTAAAAAATATCAATCTTACCCGCTTCTTCATCTTTGGTTGAGTTCCCAGTTTTGGTCTATGCAGGACAACATCAGGTGGTAATCTTCGTCTTTCGCGGGCATCTTCATTGGTATTCTCACTGTGTTGAGTAATATCTTGTACACCCTGCAATTAAGCAATTACTCAAAAAGGTCAACTATATATAGTATCTGCCTCACTTAAACAATGCTTTTTGTCTAATGAATACTCAAGCCAGTGAATTCCATCTCTTCAACTTTTACATATAATGGCAGTAAGCAAAAGGTTTCTCTATCTACTGAGTAAAAACAGTACAAGTTACACAGTCACTGTCATTTAACTAATTCAAAGAGCAAAAAGATCAGAAAAAAGTGCAGCTAAAGCCTAAGGCTTTCAGCTCTTCTTGTGCAGGTACCAGTGTATATATACCAGTTACTGTAATTGAATAACAAAAGGCATACTTCTGATTCAGACAATTGTGTGTGTATCTTCAACATTCAGAAAACTTGCTTATAATTTAAAGGTATTTTGACATGATGGAACTTGAAATATTGTTACCACTTTTTAACACCATTTGATTTAGATACCTTTTACTTGTGTTCAAGATTTCAGATCAATCGCTAATTCCATTTTTTAAGAATAATCTTTTTCAATTTGCAAATATACCTCAGAATAAAAAGCATTGAAACACAAACAGTGCAAAGAATTACACTAAAGATCGATTTTCAATTTAATTCTGAATATATTTCTATATTATCTTTTTCATAGTTTTCTGTTTTCAGTGCCCCAGTTGTTCTATGACAGATTTTCAAATTTTATGTGTATAGGCTCATTGGAGTTCATTGAAGAATTGGAGCATTCATTCAAAAGGCCAAAAGACAAGTTGACTGATGACATCACAAGCACCTGCTACCATAATTAAGGCCAATTAAAAGATAATGTCCAAGTTTTCTTTTTTCCTATTATTTCCTAAAAACAGGTCTTACATCATCTAACTGATTTCCCCTTCCTCTGAATGTATGACCCATGATGAGATTCAACTCTTGCTCTTGTTTCTGTTTCCTTGCTTCTTCTCTAGGAGCCAGAATCCTTTCTCTGTAACTGTCAACCTGCAATACAACATAGCAAGTTAGTACAATATTTATGTATCCAACTAGCGCTAACAAAATAATGGTTTTCCTTATTTCTTTTCAAACTAGAATATAGTATGTATATTCAAGAAAGAGAATCAAGAACTGGTCACATATGCGAATATCAGGATCTCTGATAATTCTTTAGCAGTAAAAGGGCAGAGCCTGGTAGCAGTGGCTACAGCAAATCATAGTGGCCCTTAAGCCAGATATTCCTATCTATACCCACAGTCAGTGTAAGATTCCTATAGTCTATGGTGCTAGTGCAGAGCCAAACAAGAATGCTTCATAAATAAAATATAACATTATGATACTGAAGTCCCTTAAATCGACAATGGTTGGTTCCAAAGTCAAAGTTAAACAAATCTATTACAAAATGCATGGTTTATATTATTACAGTAATTACTTAAAATTGTGACCCACCTTTTCTACTGTTTTATCCTGCATCAACTGTCGATTTCTTTTCCTCTGTTCTTCGAACCATTGTTTCCTCTCCTCGGAGACTGCAAGAAGAAAAAAATCGTAAAATTCCTGTAAACAAGTGTTACTGTCTTCATTATACATGTTAAGATTTAACAATTTACAAGTTATTGTAATCTTAATGAAACATAATATCTGAAAAAATATTTATCATACAAGTATACATGTACCAGTATAATTTGTACCACAAAGGTGACAGCTATTTCAAATACATTGTATTCATGACTGTATCCTTATCATGCCTGTTACCATGAATAACAGACATAATTGTTAAGCCAAATGAATCTTCAATTTTTGTCATCTGATTGGTCTTGATGAAATATTTCAATTTCTGAAGATCCAAACAAACTCCATGCCTTCAGCGCTTTGATCACATAATGTTTTGCTCTCAGGCTATTATTTTATACAATATTTATTTCAGTTTGATTCTGCAGGAAACTATAAGCTTATTGAAACACTCTTAAATCTGTTCCTTGAACCCACCGGTACTAAACAATGAATGTAAAGTTTCTTGCTCAAAGAGACAATGGCTTCCCCCTTACTGGATTTGAACCCATGCAGCTACTGATCCTAAGAAGACATGTCCGACATGTTGACCACACAACCATGCCGCCTCTCATATTACTTTTCAAGCTTTTAATTACCTTCTTGTGATTCAAGTCTACTTTGTTTGGCAAAACTGGTGTAGATCTTGTTTAAAATAGTGCATCCTATCCACAGGAGAAAGGAAAACAAGAAAAGTTTGACAACTGCATCCCAAAATACCACTGGAGATTCTGAAATAAAAAAAGTTTAATTATCATAAGAAAAAATCTTGCAAGCATTTTGACAGTTTGTCACAGGAAGGTTGTATTCGTGCTGAACAAATGATAAGTGTTAAATTTACTATAAAAACTTATCTATGAGAAGTCTTTAATTAATATATAAATGAATTTATTAAGTCTTAAGCTTATCAATTTATTCTTGCATTAAACAGGAACATGATTGTGCAGGTGTTGTTCCCCATAAAGGAAACATCATGGTATCTCTCTACAAATAAATATTATACATGGCTGGCTGCAAAAACACAAGGAAACACTATGCAACCTTCTTTCTTCGTTAACAAATTAGGCTATCTATAGATACAGTTTGTGCAGCCAATTAGTATCACCTTTAAAAAAATGTTTATTATTCCAATGTTCTATTTTATGTTCTTTTATGTTCTTTACTGAGTATACTTAAATTCAGCATTCACAAGGATTTATCTAAAAATTACTGGTTCTACTTATTTCCAACACATTCAGTTCACTCTGCATGTTCTAGTTTTTGTTGTTGTTTTGGTTTTTTTTGAAAATCATGACAATCAAAATTGGTTACACAAAAATAACATGAAAAAATTAATACAGTATATTGTAAAATTACACAATCAATAAACAATAGCAGCACTTTAGAGTTAGGCTACATGTAATTGTACAGTATAATTAGGTGTCATTCAAGTAATGAAAGTACACTTAATTTTGAAATTAAAAGTACTTTAATATGATCCATTGTGGGATGCTGTGTATATGTTTATAACATGCTCGTTTCTGTAGTTTTAAAGAAAAAAAATATTTTTACCCTTGGTAAAAAAAATCAATGAATTTCTTGCCAATTAGAATTTTATTTGACAAAAAATAAGAATAGTTTGGTCCCATATTAAACCTTTTATGACTTCGATTGAAAAAAAAATCAAATTGTCAAGAAATTTTAAGACTAGACCTGGGTTTGGTGGCAAATCAGTCAGTTTGTGGTCACATGTAACTTTTGTAAGTGACTTTTCTTAATTTTGTTGTAACTAGGTCATTTAATTATAGACAGATTAAACACTAGTACTACTGTATACAACTTATAATATTCAATATACTCCATTCAATAAGCATATAATTTAATCGCTACCTATTTTACTACATGACAACCATGCTACTGCTGCAGATCCACTCAGCAATATTGCCCAAGTCAGATTTAGTTTGGGCATTTCGACTCGGATTTCATCATTTCAGTACAGTACAGTGTTCTACTTTCGTTTCTAATCAGAATAGTCCAAATCATGAAAAATAGTGAAAAATATTCCATTGCATTCAGTGGTAAATTTACCGGAGCCGTGTCGTAAATTAGTTGTGAGATTATTCAAAAAAATAAATACAATTCTAATGAATTGCGAAATTAAACTTTTTAACCAAGACAGATATAAAGAAAAGTTTATTTTCAGTTGCAGATATTTACTTCACTTACCTCTCGGATCGAAATGGGTCGGTCCAAAAGAAGTCGATCAGCCAATGAAATGTATAAACTGAAGTCACGTGAATTTACGTTATAAATACAGCGAAACGGTACATTTCTGCCTCTTTTCCAATAACCATAAGAGAGTACAGACGTACAACATGTCGGAACAAAAAGTCGTGAATGGTGGTGGACATCCAGAACATTACAAAGAAATACGTCATCATTATGCAGAAGAGTGTAGCCAAGATGATATCGGAACATTTTTGTTTACATCAGAATCTGTTGGCGAGGGACATCCAGGTAAATCAATTACTGAATTAGATTTATTTCCCATGCGTTCGATCGGTGTTGTCACGTGGTTTTGTTTATGTTCTAGATCTTGGAAAATAACCGATATATGAAAATAGTCGCATTACTTATACATGTATGAGCTGATGATTCTTTAATTGAGGACAGTTCTTGTTTAATTGTTTCATGACATTAGATTGTTTTCATGGATCACATGAGTTCAGATTAAATCAGATATACCAAAATTGATTTTACAGCCTTGGTAGGATAATTTAGTCGCTCTTTCTATATATACCTTTAGCTGTTTAGTGCCATTTTGTGTCTTATGTAGTGACTTATGAATGAGAGATTATTCAATTGGTTAAAATGACTTGAATAGTTGTAAAGATGTCATTTTAATATCCTGTACATCAGAGATGCAGTTGTTGTTAGCAGGATGATGCAATTACCTGAGATGATGATGATTATGAATATTGCTCATTGTTACCATTTATCATTATGCTTGTCAACTGTGTAGGGCAGGTTGGCTTACTGTCGTCCTTGTTAGTGACAAGACATGTACAGTCTGCTGACATAGAAGTGAGCAATGTTTGCATTCAGGAGGATATTTCTATGCCCTCAACTGCATGTTGTACTGGCAAAGAGCCTTTTTGAGACCTTTAAATGCAGCTGGGAACATAGAACTATCTGTTGCATCATAAATAGGAGTGTTGCATCATAAACAGCTTATTCTGATTCATAGAAAATCAAAGCACAGAAGATGCTGAATTTGTTAGGGTCTCAGAATGTCAGAAAGGTGAAGGTTGTGAGATTATAAACCAATTTGTTTTTGTAAAGTGCCACCAATGCTTTCCAGTGTTTTAACTGTAGTAAATTGGCTATAAGACTAATTGCAACACTGATAGTCAATTCAATGTTTATTTGACTTAAAAAAAAAGAAAAAAAATGAGTTGCCTCAACTGGGATTTGAACTCCAGACCTCTCGATTCATAAGCGAGCGTGCAAACCCCTCGGCCACGGTGAAGTTATGTTATCGGCCTGAAGAAAACCATATTATTCTAAATTAGGGCTTGTAACTCTTATTATTTCGACGCTTAACCTGTTGTTAACACAGATGTAAATAATCATGGAGCTTGCTGTAAGCATGTATATCTATTAAGAATGAAACAATATTCGAAATCCTCGACCATTCGGGAACTACTTTGCTTGAAAATTAATGCGTCTGTCATTTGACAATCTTTACGCATTGATCTCCCCTGAATTTTTCGACGTTAGTGTACATATAAAGGGAAGTAACCGCTTCAAAAAAGTGGAATACTTTAGGCATTTGCAATTAACAGCATTAGACTCTGAAATTTCGCTACCATTATTTGTTTGGCCTGACGACCCAAACAAATAAAAACTAACCTACTTAATAAAGTGTCATAGTCTGAAAATAAAGAAACAAAAACAAAAAACACTTGTTTAAAACAACAATACATGCAATGACATAATGTATTTCATGATTACTTGATTAGTGGAATGCTATCAAGCTCTTCGTGAAAATATATATATATATTTAATACTGCAATACCTTTCATTTAGTAGTGTCTATTGGGGAATAGAACCCTTTCATTTTACATATTCAAACTACATTTCTATAAGGTTGCTTCACTGTGAAATATCCTGGTGCAGTTTTTTAATCATATAAACATTTAAATTTAATTTAACTTAAATCTCTTATTATCTTTGCATGTGTTTTCTATATTTTGATATATATTTATATGTTCAATGACTTTTATACAAGATATTGTTTTTAATTTGTAGACAAGATTTGTGATCAGGTCAGTGATGCTATCCTTGATGCTCATTTGAGACAGGACCCGGAGGCCAAAGTTGCTTGTGAAACTGTCTCAAAGACTGGTATGATCCTGTGCTGTGGAGAAATCACCTCAAAGGCCAAGGTTGACTACCAGAGTATTATCAGAAATACAATCAAACAGATCGGATATGATGATTCCAGCAAAGGTATGTTTGTTTGTAGGGGTTTTTCAACTGTAGATAAGTTTTAAAATCCATGCGGGAAAGATCGTGTTTACTGTTAATTTGAATAATATACAATGTATTGTAGTTGAGTAACTGTATTGTTGATTTTATTTAACTTCAATAAGTTACCTACTGCTAGCATGTTCAAACTCTTAATAGAACAATTTTTCAACCTTTAGGTTTTGATTACAAGACCTGTAATGTGTTGATTGCCCTAGAAGAACAAAGTCCAGATATTGCCCAAGGTGTGCATGTTGACAGAGATGAAGATGACATTGGTGCAGGCGATCAGGTAAAATTAATATTTACACAACCTTGTTATCATACTGTCTAAAAGATTTGTTTCCAGGTCTTTGAAGGATGTTCATTACTTTTACAAGAAGAAATTGTGCTTGATCTCCCAATTTGCACTTGCGTGTCTGACTATATGCATGAGGGTACCTTAATTGGCATACAAGCCATTTGGTGTTGTTCTCAATAATACAGAGGTTTGGAAACAGTTTGATGGTTATTATGGGATCAGTGACTAAAAAAAAATTAAAAATTTTGTATCAGTGAGTCTGTACAGATGCAGTAATCCATAGTACAAGTTTGATGGAAGTTATAAATTATAGTTATATAATATAGTTATATTATATAGTTATATTTATAAATTTGTTATTTAACTGTTTATATTTATAGATTATTTATTTGATGTAGGGTTTGATGTTTGGATATGCTACTGATGAAACTGAAGAGTGTATGCCATTGACAGTTGTCCTTTCTCATCAACTCAATGCAAAGATTGCTCAGTTACGCAGATCTGGGGAATTTCCTTGGGCTAGACCAGACACCAAAACACAGGTATAGTTGCAGTGTTTGAAATGAAAATGTTTTCTTTGTTCACAGCTACACTTGTTGAATGCCATCTTTTAATTAGTATAACTTAACTTTATATTATAAACATTTTGTCTAAATGCTGTGTGTTCCAGCTGCCCGTCATTGGATTGAACATGTGAGAAAGCTTTCTAGCTAGCTTAAGGAACGTCTGTGGTTCTACCTAGGTGCCCATGTACAGGGGGGCACCTCGGTTCTTCCTCCAACCAGTAAAGCTCGAAAGTCACCAAATGAGCTTTACTGTGTTGGTGCGATGTAAACCCCACCCAAAAATAAATAAACATTTTGATTATAAGACTGACAAAAAGACCGAAATAAATGCAATCTAGCAAATGGCATTGTATAATAATTCAATATTAAAGAAGGCTATGAGCTATGCGATGATTGATATATGAAATGAAATGACCTATGCCCGCCTAGATTGGAAAGTTATTTTGTCAGTCTTAATAGTTTTGACCTTAGATGTAACAGAAAAAACATTTCTTGTTCTCCAGGTTACAATTGAATACAAATATGACGAAGGTGCATGTGTTCCTCTCCGTGTTCACACAGTTGTCATCTCGCTCCAACACAGTGAAGATATTACCATGGACAAACTTAGAAAAGAAGTCATGGAAAAAGTCGTTAAAGTTGTGATCCCTCAGAAATACCTGGATGATAGAACAATATATCACATACAGCCATCAGGATTATTTATCATAGGCGGTCCACAGGTAATTGTTGTCTTATATCGTATGGTATTCATAGCTTAGTATTTCCGTTATATCGTACATTCTTTCCTTCCATAGGTATATTTTTGCAAAATTCATAGACTGCATGTTGATTGATCTTTTGGTTTTATTATGTTGGCATATATTTCATTAACATTTGTATTTTTATTTTTTGTTAATTGATAATTTATGCAGAAAAATATTTATGGAAGGATTGATAATGTAGTTTGAAAGTTTGTGTACTATCTCTCTAAAGTAACAACAACCTAGCTAGATCCAGTGATTGGAACCCCCTTTAACTAGAATCATGCAGTTGGTTAGAGGTGACCTGTTATCAGAGATAGTGAGAACTTTGTACAAATTTGTTCAAGGTCGTAAGCAACTTAAATATATAAACAAGACTAAAGTAAATAAACAGGAGTTATAATGGGAAAACCAAATGATGCAAGTTGAACTTGAGACGTACATGGTGTGGTCAACCAAATAGGTTGTTAATGAACTTGAATCAGTGATTTTTTCCCCCAATGTGTGGCTTTCAGAACCAGAAAATATATAGCATGATAAATCACAAAAGGGAAAATCTGAAATCAAATTCCAACAACTGAGAATGGATTTTACCCACACATTTTATAGAATTTTCAATTTTATTTCAACTGAATATGCATGATACATTCAGAGGCCATCTTTGGTGACAGCTTTCAGTCTGTTAAATTTTTTCAACTGACTGCTGTTGGTCATAGTTCTGGCAACTTATGTGCAAAGGGCATTTCAGGGAACAAACATATAGCATTTTTAGGGGAAAATTTATCTATTTTGGGCTAGGGGAAATAGCCTTTATTTGGCTGTAAAAAAAGGGGGGAAATCACTGTGCATTATCTGAGTACCCTTTTATTTCCTGATATTTTGTGTTGAAATTTGATAATAAAAAAGAACCTTTCATTTTAACAAAAATAAGTTGGACTTGTGCTTCATATTAAATCAGTTTTTGATGCCCTTGAGAACATTATTTACAAATGTAAGGGTCATGATATAGGGTTATTATATATCCTTGAGATAATGTAAACCACTCTAGTTCTTATTTGAAATAGGTTAATATTTTACATGCCCTATTTGTGTGGAATCCAAGCAAACATCTTAGATAGCAGAGTATCTATTTGATGTCAAAGTCTGATTTGAGGATGTGCAACTAGTCAACACCAGGTCAAAATTTAGACTAGGTGTTATCTTTTTGGTTTCAGACTGGTTCGGACTAGTTTACACAGAAAACTTGGTTAAAGGCATATTTGTTCACCCTTGTGTAATTTATGTAAACACCATTTTAGGCGTTAGTTTCATAAGTTTTAAAATGCTATTTGTTTAGGTCATGTTGAATCCGGTAAGTTTGACAGAGTTGAGTTTATTAGGGACAACTTGGCAGAGGCATAGCCAGATGAAGGCTCTGGAAGTTTGAGCCTTCGTTTGCTGTGCATATTTTAGGGGAAACTTAACATTTATTGATAGAAGTTTGAAGAACAAGACTTGCATAAAAAAAATTTAGACTATATTTCTTGTTACTGTACGTTGAATTTGCTTCAAAACAGATTGATCCCTTTGGAAAGAATAATTTTCTCTAAATAAATTGCACAACAGTTCTGGCTACGCTCCTGCTAGGGTGAATGTAGCTCTAGGTCCACAGTTTGCATATACTTAACTCTATTGATGATGGTACAAGTGTTAAGCGATGTAAATTATTTTATTTATCATTTTGTATAAGAATATACATATTTCTTAAACTTCCTTTTTCTCTAAATCTACCATTGAAGCAGGTTGAATATCTTCTTGTGTAATTTGTTATAGAAAATTAAATAAACTAGTGTCAAAATTGTCATATTTGTGTAGCTACTTGGCTTATATAGTTATGCAATTTTTACGATTTACATTATACAGTTATCTGATAGCTGTTACATTTAAATGTGTAATGAACCATCGGATAGAGTTGATATTTTGCAGACTGGGACTAGATTTTTGTTGTGCACCAAATCTTTTCATCTTTGTACTTCAAGCATGTAAAGTTTTTTAAAAAGCAGTTGATTCCCTTGATGAAGTTTCCATGGTAACAATTTGAATATGATTACTGAAGCATGTGACTAAACGATCACACAAATCCGTCTTCGTTTTCCTCCTTTGAAATATGTCAATCATTTAATGTTTTAATTGGGAGACAAACTTAGTACCGGTAACATCTATAATCAGGAGTGGGTAGTGGGCATTAAGACTAATCAATTGCTCAAAAAGTCGGACAAAATAAGATAGACTGGTTGAAAGACTTACTTGTATGCAGTAAGAATAACTTAATCAAACATGATGGTGTTGTGACACAGTCCTCTTTAAGAGTTGAAGAGAAAATGTGTACAAATAGTTTTTTTCAAGTTTTTAATTCTAGTGAGTGACACTTGCTGTTTTAAACACTTGAATTTTTTCATAAATTTTGGCGTGTATTCAAAGAAGATTACTTGGAGGTTATATGCAGCTTTAATATTGGAATGACACTAAAGTGCCACATTGTAGGTTTCTTGATCACCGCAATATGAACACATCTACAGATGTCTCTAAATTCAGAATTTCACCATTTTCATACCATTTGCCCCTCACTGCTGTGGGTTCAAATCCTGACAGGTACTTTGGATTCTTTCATGTGAGGAAGCTATCTCATGTGCCCGTTTGTGCCTGAAATAATGCAAGGAAGGGTATCTGAGGTCTTCCTCCACCAGTAAAGCTGCAACGTTGCCATATGACCTATATACTGTGTCTGTGTGACGTAAAACCCAGTCAAACAAATCAAACCATTTACATCTATTAACGTTGAGTTCTGCTACAGCCAGGGCTATAGACAATTGCTTGCACTTGCCACTGCAGTCCTTGAACAGGCTAGGTCATACCAAGCCTGCAGCATTTATTTTGCTGCTTTGGGCATTCTTTAAGGTTTTTCTTTTTCTCTAATTTAATGGATAATTACAATATCTATTGCTTCTTAATTTTATAAAGAAACAGTTCTGAGAAGTAAAGATGAAGAGTTTTGACTCAATTTTATTTATTATTTGAGTATACTACTCTCTACAGGTGTTATATGCTTTTGTAACTTGGTACATTAACAATTTTGCTTTGTAGTAGTTACTAACCTGTTATTTTGGGAATTTATCTAGGTAAAGCACTTAACCTAGTTTTCAGTTTTGTTGACATTATTTGACAAGTGGTTTTACTGATAATGGTTAAGTCATCTGAATATTTCCTCATATCTCGAGATAAAACTGTTTTCATTAAGATGACTTGTTCGTATTTCTAAAATTAAAATTTCGGTCATCATCTGTAGGTGATAAGCTATGTTTAATGTATCACTTTTTGCGCATTACAAATAGGCAGACTGGAACGAGTTTAAATTTCTGACTTTTATCATATAAAGTATTAACATAAACAAGGTACATTTATTTATAATTCTATCTATAGAAAAGATAGGTCATATAGTAGTTGCATTATCAGGTGGAGTGACGGCATTACTTCACCAACGTATAAATGAAAATTGGGGGACAAAATTGACAATTTAATGCTGATTTTATTTGTAGCTATATATGTAGTTACAACCCATTTAAAACAAGCTATTGGACCAATACTGGTAATAGTATAAGCATTCAATAATTTTGGCTGCCATAAGCAATTGGGTTTGTAAGATGGTCCTTGTGTCCACAGCTTCACTTACAAATAGCTAACACCAAAAAATATGCTTAAACGTACTGAATAGGTGAATTTCAGATTTTTTAGACTTCTAAAATAGTCATATACTATCTATAAATGATGACAACCTTAAAATACCAGGATATTCAGGATTTCTCAATTTCCAACATCTACTTTTGGTAATGTAGTACATTTCAAGGAAAACCTTTTCTTTATTCATTAAGTCATTATTTAAGTTTCCACGTGGGTCTAAGTCTTTCCCTAGGCTATTTTAAAGGTTTTTTTTTGTGAAATTCACTTAAAGTTAAAACTTCTTTATGACTGTATACAAGTCAAGAGAAAGTATTAATAAAACAGCTTTTTGTTCGTTCTAAGGCTCAAATTTGTTTGCATATAATAGTAAGTTTTACAAAAAAAGTAAAATTTTGTTTTGAAGTGTGCAAGCTTTAGTTACTTGTTATCTGTTGATCAATATACTCCCTGTTTGCATGAACTGTTGTACAACTTCTAGTTAGTGAAACTCTGCTTTGAACATTTATATTGTTCCTTGAAACAATATGCATTGTAGTTATTTTGCACTTCTGTAAAATCTCTGCATTGTATATTTATTCTGTATATATAATTCTAGTGACTATATGCAAAATGCTTTTGTTGTATTGATTATGAATAATTTATCTCCTTTTAAAATTGTAAAACATTTACAAAACATTTACCTGTCTTACTCATACAGTTACAAATTATGACTAGTGTTTTGTGTTGTTATTGTTGTTTAATAATTTACAGCCATGAGCTTTTTGTGCTAATCTGTTAAATTCAGTCAAACTCGAAATATCAGTGGCAATTTATGCTAGATCCGAATGTTTCTCAAGTGGCAGCTTCCGTCCAGTATAACTTCCCTTAACTGCCAAGTTGCTAGACATGGTCTTGGGTAGCATGTAGGAAAATACTTTGAAATTGCCACTGAATGAATGGTCCATTTTGCGTAAAGAATTCGTCAGAAGAATATTTATAGGGGGATTCTTTCATCTAAGTCCTTTAAATGAATTTTCAGTAAAAAAGGAAACTATGAGTGGACATGAAGCTACTAATTAGCAAGTTTAGGCCAGCATTGCTACCATATTAACTTGACTGGTTTGTATGATTGTGCAATTTGGGGCTTTGAAGAAAAAAAGAGTCGTCTTGTTTGGTCTGGTCAAAAAGTATTGCAAATGTATATTCCTGTAGAATCCATGTTCATTACAGGTGTTCTTGTAATCTATTTTCAGTGAAACCTTTGATATGTAAAAGTATTGCAAATGCATTCTTGCAGAATCTATGTTCATTACATGTGTTACTATAATATATTTTCTTTGATGTAAAAATATCTTTATTTTTAACCAATGTGAATATTTGTTTCAGGGTGATGCTGGTTTGACTGGTAGAAAAATTATTGTAGATACATATGGTGGATGGGGTGCTCATGGTGGCGGTGCTTTCTCGGGTAAAGATTTCTCCAAGGTAGACAGATCGGCTGCATACGCTGCAAGATGGGTGGCAAAATCTCTAGTCAAAGCTGGTCTGTGTAGACGTGTTCTTGTTCAGGTAAATCGGTCAACTTTTGTGCAGAATCTAATTGATTTTGGCAGTTTTGATTTTGGCAGTTTTATCTATTACTTATAAATTTTCAATGTGAATTTTTTTTGAGAAAATTTGGAGGAACAAATGGGAAATATTTGATAGTGTTAAAATGCACATCCTTTCTTGGTCTCAGTTAATAAGGTGGAGTTACATAAATTTTTGTAAGATTGTGATTTTGTGGAGAAAAACTGACTTTGATGGCAAACATCTAAGATTGTTTTAAAGCAAGGCCATAGTGTTGGCAATCAATGTGTGTCAGTGTGTGCATAGTCTTTGAGGTCTGTCTGAACTTGAAAAATAATCAAGGGCGTAGCGCCCATTACGCACAATACGCAATTGCGTATAAAAGAATCCGAAGGTAAAAAATTAAAGTTGAGAAATTCTAAGTTTTAATGATTTTGTCGCTATAGATCTAGATCTCCATTTCTGTTTACAAAATATTTCGTTGGGTCATACTGTTTACTAGTGTAAACTATGATTGCGTCACTCTATCGTTTGACCTTTCTATTTATTATCGTAATAAATGTGCAATAGGAATTTAAGTTTCTCGTTAACTCGAAAGCTCAGCATTAATTTATAAACTAGGCTCATTGGTCAAATTCTCAGAAAATAAAGTTTTTTAAGATTTTTCTTAAAGATTTTGACCAATCCTTTCTCAATCGTTTCCTTTGGAAAGCTCTATTTTAAAACGATTTTAAATCTTTCAAGTTCAAGATCAAGATTTTAAAAATCATCAATTGGGGGCAAAATTTAATTTTTGGTATGTTGTTAGTTGTCAAAATGAAAAGAAACATCCGTCAAATTCCAGGACAAACGACGCTGTTTATGTTCCTAAAACAGGACCCCATTCATGTCGATAATGAATCTGACCAGGCAGAAACAAAACGGAATTCACAAAGACCTTGCATATGACCCTCCTGTGATCAGCAAATCAGACACCAACCTCCTCCTTTTTGTCTCCCCCTGCTTCTTCTCCCCTCGAGAACTGCTAGAAGCACCCTGGGAGCACAATTCCTGTATATCGAAAGTATTGATATCAGAAGCCGACTAAGAATGCCAGATACTAAAAAAAATGTCCTCACCGAACGGTTCGAGCCACATACAGGTTGGGTTGCACCTCTCAGAGAACTCGAAAAAAGACAACAAGTAGGCGAGTGCCAGACTTTGTGTTTGAACAATAGACGCACCCATCTACTAAAGGTACATCCCTTTATTTGATGGGGTATTTTGTGCTCCATGTTTTGCCTTAAATGCTGCTGAAAATGTTCTTGTTGCTCGTCCGTTGATTGACTGGAGCAACGCAATAAAAGTCGTTGATGGGCACACACACTCAAAAAACACATAAATTTCATCACAAGAGCCGACCACTTGTACGCATCTGGAAGGAAGAGCAGAATGTGGTCGAGTTCGGACCAACGGCCTATCGGCAGACAGTACAAAAGAACAGGGAGGCGTTAGCAGCCATCATTGAGGCCATAATTCTTTGTGGGTAACAGAATATACCTATCTAGGCTATGAGTAAATCCGTAACTTTCTCATCACCGCCTGTGGAGACATATATGGAGTGATCATTAGACCATTTAATATCTCGTTGTATCTGGCAATTTCCCTACTTTCTTACGATGAAATAGAAGTGTTCTCAGAGTATAAAATTTCTTGTGCATTTGGAAATAATACATACACTTGGATAAATAAGACTGAAGGCTTAAGAAAAAGGCCGTTCAAACCAAACTTATTTGATGAGAATGCGTTTTACAATTAAACGGGCATTCATACATAAACCAATTTCATGATCTGCATCCTTAATCAAACTTCACATGGAAAATTGTTTATGTATGTTTATATGCACGTGTAAAATAAGAAAACTACAAGGCGTACACTGCCTTTTTTTCTTCACAATTCTGTTCGAATTTATAATAAAATAAGTTAAAAAGTAAAACGAGCAGCTATATGTTTATCAATTTATGGGGGAAAATGACTTGAAAATGCTTCATGCTTTAGGTGCAAAAGGTGCTTCAAGACATGCCAGAGCCCACGATTTAACATCTGTTTTTTTCAAAATTTTCCGGGGGAGACCCCCCGTACCCCCACCAGCGGGAGGGGGACACCCCCTCCCGCACGCTCCCCCTCTCGGCACTTCGTGCCTCGCTTTGCGTATCATTTTTCGGGCCCTAGCTACGCCCCTGATAATAGTTATGTTCAATGTGTCCACATGACTAGTTGGATGTAAATTGTTAGATGTTAACCATGGTTTGAATAAAAATTCTGGTCTTTTTGTCATTTTCAGCTATCCTATGCTATTGGCGTTGCTCAGCCATTGTCCATCACAGTACTTAGTTACGGAACATCAAGCAAATCAGAACAGGAATTGTTACAAATTGTCCGCAACAACTTTGATCTTAGACCTGGTAGAATTGTCAAGTAAGTATTTATTTCCAATTCTGATAAATATTATTTGCCTTTGTTAGTTTTATGAAGAACAGAAATAAACAATTAATTTAATATTTGAATAGTCAGTATACCACTCATTGACAAACTTTGACTGTGTTACAAACTCAAAAAGAATCGACAGTCACCCATGTGGTTGAGTGTTTGATAAATACTCTGTACCAGTCTATATTTTGGTAGAGGCATGGCGTTGTGATGATATCCATGCACATAGTGTCTAATAAAGACAGTTACATTTCTTTTTATGAAATCGTAATTTTATTTGCCAATTTAGAATTCTTTGAAAGTGAATAAAATTGAAACTGAGATCTTGGTTGTCCAGTTTGATATTTATATGCATTATTAGGTGTCCAACATTTTAATTTATTCTCAAATATGAGCTAAACTGTACATGCAAGAACATTGTGAATTTCAGAGAAATTCAAAGTAAACTTAAATTTATTTTACAGAGACCTAAATTTGAAAAATCCAATTTACCAGAAAACTGCATGTTATGGACATTTTGGAAGACCAGAATTCACATGGGAGCAAGGAAAGCCTTTGAAGTTCTAAAATTATCACTCACACACTATCTGACATTATAAATATCATTCAGTCACTTTCAGCAGGTGCTTTATTTAATTTTTTAGTGTAATTTGACTGAATTTAACATTATATTAAAAAAAGAGGGTATATAAACTACTTTGGTTATATATGTAGATATATATAATAATAGAACTGCACTGAACTATGTTTAGATATTATATCTTGCAGTGTTTCTTACTTACAATTGTTATATGCATAACATATGCAGCCCGTCGATCCCCCAGGGCCCCAATATTTGTGTGACCCTGGGGTGCCTCGTACTGGCTTTGGAGAGAAGATCTACAGACCACAGTAGTTAGAGGGATAGACTGACATCAGATATGATACCAGAGTCATTTAAACATTTGATAGTGACCCGTGTTTTTCAAACACAAGTTGTTAAATTGTTTAGCAGATTCACGAATTCAGCTCTTGAATCTTGATTAACACAGGTTATCATCTTGTATTTTTCGAGACTTTTGTTGAATTGGTGCTTGGTTAACAAATTAACAAAGTATATATAGAAAATTCTGTGAAAAATTTATCTTAGAATGAATATCGTATCTGCCCTCAGTCTGCGTGGCCCTTTAGCTAGTGCAAATGTGTAATTGTTTAAAACACACACACATTTGTCTTGTGTTTATAGAAATTAATTGGAAAAGAGCACTCTTTATAAACACTCGGGTCTGTGCTCCATTTGTGCTCAATTTAACATCCTTTGTTTTGTATTTTCTGTAACCTTGCTCTTGTTTTTCTTTTTTTTTCTTTAACACTTCTTTAAACATGGTTCTATGTATATATTTATATATTACTTGCAATTTTTATGTAATTTGATGTATTTTATGATGTACACTATGCCGATACATATTTTTGTCACTGTTAAAATAAAAAATCAATTGTTTAACATTTGTCTTGTAAACAAAACTGTTGAAACAAACACTTCTAAAGTGGCAGATATTTCATTTCCATAATATTATGTGCAAAGTTTCACTAGTAAATATACCATATGTGAAAGCTTGTTTTTATAATTTTATGTTTTTTAAAAATAAAAAAATGTGCTTTTTTAAAAATCATGACTGTGTCTCACTTTGCAATGCTGTTGTGTGAAAATTTTTATTTTTTGGAGTAAACGATTGTACTTGAATGTATGTATACTATTGTTGTAGCAACAGTAGTTGTTGTTTTTATGAAGATTGCCAATTTTTTTCGCAATTTTTCATCTGATTTCCATATCATATTGTTTCTTTTTATGTCTGTGTAAGAATGAATAAGAGAGGTCCACCTGTACCAGATGTTTTCTATACTTTGACAAGTGTTCGAAATTTTACATTTAGATAATGGTAATTTTTTCTCGACAATATTTCTTACATTCCTTTATCCTTTTATAACAGCTGCTGTGTCAATATATGCATACTTGCCTGTAATTTTGGAGGGTAAAATAGAAATAATGGAGAGCAGAAAAAAAAATGTATATTTTTGTATTGTAATTTGTACAAGTTTTTGATGGAAGCAAATGTTGTGATAAGATACCAGGTAGACACTTGCGTTTATTTCAGTTTGATACTATTTATAGCCTTACATGATGTACAAATCAGTTGTAATACGTAGCACAGCTGGGGCTAAGAAAGTAAGACTGCCTCGACTTGAAAATGCAAGTGGCGATAATTATTCGCCTGTACAAAACTTTAGTCAGTTTTACTTCTATTCAGGGTCAAAGGTCAAGTCAAATCTCTTGAATATATTCATAATTTATAATCAAAATTTGACTTCAAATTTGTCTATCCAGCCATGGTTTTAATGGTGTCATTTAAAGTGACCTCCCTTGTTTGTTTGAATATAAATTATTGTGATGAATTATGTATTGGTTGATATGTTTTATTTTTGTTGTATCAAAATGTTATAGAAATCCCTGTTCCATTTTGTATGTGGGATCAAAAAATCAATGATGAAATAAAATATAAATTGAAAATTGTTTTTATGGTTATTTTATTTTGTATTCAAGAAAAAAGCTGTTATGGGAAGAAAATAGTTTAAACTTGACATGAACCAATGTCCCAAGCTTGATTTTATATACTTGAAAGTACACGTTAGTTTAATTGGTCTCTTAAAGGGGCTCTAAAAAGTGATTGCGGACAAATTGGCAACATCACTGTCGTGGACCACTATACTTTCATCTTTAGGTATGTGAATAACGGAGCAAAGTTTCTACCCCACTTGTATGGTAGATATATTGAATCAAATAAGTTGATATTACTTAATTTACATTGAACCATATTAACTAACATCTTGAAAGATCTTTTGTCCCTCTCCACTGTGGGTTTAAACTTTATGAAGGGGAGCTATCCGCTAGATAATGTAAGGTTGGTGGTACAACTCGTGTTCCTGCTTGTGCCTGAAATAATGCAAAAAGAGGCACCCAAGGTCTTCCTGAACTAGTAAAGCTAGAAAATCAACATGTGACCTTCACAGTGCCAGTGAGATTTTAATGCAACAGAACAAAGTCCATAGAAATAAACTGCTTTGATCTTCAGACTTATATAAAGATACCTTGTCATGAAGCTATATTAGTCTTTACAAATGATATTCATCTCGGCCGTCTCCTTCAGTTAAGATATTTTATCAACCTCGGCACTCCAAGGACAACTGTGGTTAGAAATAAGATCAGTTTCTTACCTAAATTTGCTTTGTTTAATACAATTTAATTATATTTTGTTACAGTGGAAAATATTTTCCATATTTAATAACAATGATCCTTTATTTACTGCAAGTGATTTGCCTTTCAACCAGTATAGAGTATAGACCCAGGTCAGTCTGCACTTTGGTGCAGTGCAGTCTACCTTAAACTTTAAATGAACTAATGTAAATTTAAAGCAGAGAAATCCATTATAAAAATTCTGTAGGTAACAGATTAAATGAACTTTCAGAAGTTGTCTCCCTTTATATATAAACAATTTATTACATTCAACCTTTAAATGGTTATATTAGTTACATGTATGCACATTGCACATGTAGTGAAAGAAAAGATCTTATCAACTAGGAATCCTCTGTTAATAATCTTTTAAGTTGTATTTAAATGTAAATTTAAGAATATTGTGCGCAGCTGTGACATATTGTACATTTAATGGCAGCAAGTGTTGGTTTTGAAATGTCAGGCCTTTTAGAACATGTAAAGTTTGTAATTGCTTGTACGCTTTGAACTTTAAAATATGTAAATTCATCTATACTAAAGTATAAACTCGACTACATTTTTCTTTTATTTAAGAAATGGTTGAATTTATTTATTTACAGTTTATTAAACCTTAATCATAATATTTGTGCAATAGATTTGCCCTGCAGTCCATTAAAAAAATTGTAGTTTACATATATTTTAGTATGCTTTGCATTTGAAGTGGTCTATTTAAAAGTTTTGGGGATTTCAGGATTAAAATAATAAAATTAAGTAGCCTGCTTTGAATTTGGAAAAGTCAGATTATATATTTCAATATAAACAAGCAAATTCGTTGAATTTATATCCCCCGCCGAGTACTGGTTATTATTAACACAACAACTGAAGACATAAGGCTTTATTTATATATTAATCATGGCATAAACAGTAATATTCTTTGAACTTGATAAATATTCAGGGCAATAACAGAGCCATAATTTTGTGTTAAATAGTAAAATCTGGAAATGCCAATGAGATGTATGCATACTACATGTACATAACTAATCAAGGGCCATAAATCTGAGTAATAAGTATCTGACCGGGAACAAGGCGACTATATGCACATCTCCTCTTAGTATCCCATAAAGTTTCATTGAATTCCAGCCAGTAGAAGCAGAGAAGTAGCGAGGAAACAAATATTTTTTCTTTATGGATACTGTTGCATAACTAATCAAGGGCCATAACTCTGAGTTAAAGTGTCTGAACGGAACAAGCCGACAAATATGCGCATCTCCTCTTGGTATTGAAGGTTCCCATAAAAGTTTTTTGTTGAATTCCCAGCCAGTAGTTGCAGAGAAGTAGCGTGGAAACCAATTTTTACTCTATATGCATACTACATAACTAATCAAGGGCCATAACTCTGAGTTAAAGGGTCTGACCGGAACAAGCCGACGATATGCTTATCCCCTCTTGATATTGATGATTCCTATAAAGTTTTGTTGAATTCCAGCCAGTAGTTGCAGAGAACTACTCCGGAAACGATTTTTACTCCATATGCATATTACATAACTAATCAAGGGCCATAACTCTGAGTTAAAGTGTCTGACGGGAACAAGCCGACGATATGTGCATCTTCCTCTTGGTATTGAAGGTTCCTATAAATTTCGTTGAATTTCAGCCAGTAGTTGCAGAGAAGTAGCGCGGAAACGATTTTTACTCCATATGCATACTGCATAACTAATCAAGGGCCATAACTCTGAGTTAAAGTGTCTGACCGGAACAAATGCCGACGATATGCGCATCTCCTCTTGTATTGATGATTCCCATAAAGTTTCGTTGAATTCCAGCCAGTAGTTGCAGAGAACTACTCCGGAAACGATTTTTACTCTATATACATACTACATAACTAATCAAGGGCCATAACTCTGAGTTAAAGGGTCGGACCGGAACAAGCCGACGATATGCACATCTCCTCTTGATATTTGATGATTTCATAAAGTTTCGTTGAATTCCAGCCAGTAGTTGCAGAGAACTACTCTGGAAACGATTTTTACTCTATATACATAACTACATAACTAATCAAGGGCCATAACTCTGAGTTTAAAGGGTCGGACCAGAACAAGCCGACGATATGCGCATCTCCTCTTGATATTGATGATTCCCATAAAGTTTCGTTGAATTCCAGCCAGTAGTTGCAGAGAACTACTCCGGAAACGAAATTCGGACGGACGGAAGGACGGACAGACGGACGGACAACGCCAAAACTATATCCCCCTCCAGATTCCATCGGCGAGGTATAATTAGCACTAAGTACAGAGTCTGGTTTGACTGGACTGACTTTCTTATACTGGAGGCATAGCTCTTTTTTCTGCTAGAAAACAAAGGTTAAAACCAAATTGTTATATTTTTCTAATCTTTACAGAAATGTAACTTCCATTAAAATAAGTGCATTACTCATATGTCAGTGGATATGTACATGATTCTATTAACAAGATTGATCAATGATCACATGTGTCGCCTGATGATATCCAATCAAGCAGTTGTATTCACTATTGACTATTGAGAGGTGATTGACTAGTTCGTTTGTTTGTTTCATTTTACGCCTTTTCCCAACAGTATTTCAGTCATATAGGCGGGTAGTTTCCTAACCATCGTTCCTGGAGAGTTACACCAGTACTAGACTACCTTCCTCTGAGCTAAACTACCAAAGCATCTCCGGGGGATCGAACCCACGCCAGATAGAAGTCATCGACTGTAACCCCTCTACCACGGAGGCGGTCAATTGACCAGTTTGTTCCATATACTTTGTAGCATGTTGCAGAAACTGTGTAGCAGACAACACAAAAATCATTAACAGGCCAAAACCTGGCCATAATTAAGCAAAAAATCATTGAACCAGAAAACCCTTATCATACCAAAGCATCTCCCGGGGATCAAACCCATGCCAGAGAGGTAACTGGATTAGAAATCATCGACTCTAACCCCTCGACCACGGAGGCGGTCATATGTGCAAGAATTTGAGGTATCGATCAATCCTGTAAATTTTAACTTAAATTGGATAAGAAGTATAAGTGTAGTAGTCAAGATAAAATTAAAAAGAAAATTTTAAAGGCCCATAACTCTTGACAAAAATGAACTGGAAAATGCCGACAATATTCATAGCTAGACTTGGTACTGATCATTCCTGTGAAATTTGGATGAAATTGCACCAGTAGTTTTTAATAGTCCAGACAAATTTTGCAACTTACAGACAGACAGACCACAAAAAAGTAATCCCTATAAGTTGTGGCTACTTTGTACAATGTATCAGCTTCTGTGTAGCTGGCAACACAAACATCATTAACAGGTCAAAACTCAATTTTTATGAAGGACCAAAAATCATTCAACAGGAAAACTTGTGTAATTTGCGCAAGTACTTTAGGTACACATCAATCCTGTAAAGATTCGTTGAAATTTCATTACTGGTATATGAGAAGTTGTCCAGATAATAATCATTAAAGGGCCATAACTCTGACAACAAGAACGGGTTGAACCGAGTGATGCTCCCCGAGAATGTTTTGGACACAGGAAAGTATAAAAAAATGAACAAAGGGCAAAAACTCTTTAAAATGCACTTCTACTCAATGAGATCTATCTACCTACAAAGTTTCATGTTGAGATCTCTTATACTTTTAGAGTTATGTCCCGGACAAAGTTCAAAGTGTAAAAATAAACAAAGGGCAATAATTCAAAAATTAGGCACGGCATTGTTACGGTTCTTGTGCACTGCAAACCTAGTCAATGAGATCTATCTATCTGCAAAGTTTCATGTTGATAACTCTTATAGTTTAGGAGTTTTCCCGGACAAAGTTCAAAGTGTAAAAATAAACAAAGGGCAATAATTCAAGTATTAGTCAAGGCAGATTACCGTTCTTGTGCACTGCACAAACAGGGACAGACGGACAAAACGGCGACTATATGCTCACCCTTCCGGGAGCATAGAAATCATTGAACCGAAATATGTGGACAAGACAGGCTGGGGACAAAGAAGTGATCTCCTACTCTGTCGCAGGCGACACAAAAATAGTTAAAAAAAATAAAAGATTAGATCTTAAAAAATAAAGATTGTTTACAATAGTTGTCTTTCTAAATCTTTTTAATCAAGAATCATATACAATTTATGGATTATAAATTAGACCACATCAATACCCAGTTACGGACTGACCCCACTAAATGCTGTTATAATGAAGTAAGGTATATATTATAGTTCTGAAAAGTATTAGATTAAGAAAGCAAATCATGATGCTATGAAGTAAATGGTTAAAAAAAATTTCTCATATCAGATTTATTTCCTTATATTATTACAACAAGATTTATACTGAAGACTTTTCTCATAGGACTTTTTTTAACTCAATAACGAGGACGGTGACCCCTAAATTTTCTTTGCTTAAAATGTTTCTATTATCATATTCTAATAACATGCCAAGTTTTAAGAAATTCTATTGAACAGTTTTAATTTTGCCTATATGTCTATATGAAAACTCCCAAAAACGTCCCTAAACTTTAACAAGTTGGCTCTTTTGAATAACATTCAAAATTTGCACATACGTAATGAGATTTATTTTAAAGGGCAATATTATAAAACAAAACAATGAAATTTAGTTTGATTATTTATTAGCAGCCTGATATGTCCATAATTTAAGGGTATGATCATAAAATGAGCAAGTTCCAATGATGTATTCACCTGGTGCTGAGTTAGACTGTGACTGTGTTTTGTTGGAAATTCTGCACCAGTCTGCTCCATATGCAATAGACTGGTGCTCTTTATAATTTAAAAGTACAGACAACTCTGTCTCTGAAATATTGTCAAATATTAAACATGCATGGTATCAATAAACATCAGAAAAAAATTCTTAAACGTTCACTCAATCATGCATCTACATATTTAAATTGCAAAATATATTTATCTAAACCATCTTTAAAGTAAACTGAAAATTGAAGATCTGTTAAGAGTATTTAAATGCTTATATCTGTCTATTTGAAAATATGCCATAATTTATTCAACGTCTGAGCTAGAATTTTTTTTTTTATTTGAACATGACATATCAAAGTCTTAAAGAGCTTCTTTGACAAAATGAGATGTAACCTTGAATCATTAAAGGACTTTCACCTTCAAAATTCTATGAAATTTCACCAAAACTTTGCTAAGTATTGACGACTTTGGGGATGAGGCCTCATCAATGGCTTGTGGTTTTATAATTTACATTTTGTTTCAGTATAAATCATGTTAGGTAAAGATTTTTTTTAAATTTAGCTAAGACAATAAGCTGGTGCCCTACCTGATGTATCAATGACATGGAAACCATTATACATTGTAGCTGTTAAAATATGCCTCGCATTTGCTGGTTCCCATTTTATCCGCCACACGCCACCATCAAGTTTCAACTCTCTCAAAGGTTGCTTCATACTGCGACTGTCCCATAGCAATAGGTTCTCATCATAACTGTATAATGACCAATCATATTGAAATGCATATATATTTACGGCTTGCTAAAACAGCCGGCACATCAAATATGAACAAAGAATGATGACAGCTTGACTTTATGTAAATTCATCATATATGCACCTGCTATTTCATTTTGATGTTCAAACAAAAGATCAACCAACATTTTATATTGCCTTCAGAGTAAAGTTGTGTTAAACTGGAAAAAATATTGTAATTTTTTAGTGTATTGCCTAAAAATATTGCAAATGACATGTTAGCTATCTCCTTTTTGAAATACACTTTTATGAAAAGATATATTAAAACTTAGTACATCAACATAAATGGACTTAAACTATCCTTAAATAGAGCTGATTTTTATTAAACAAAGGGCCATAACTCAAAAATGCAAAATCAGATTTAATGGAATTTGATGATTACAATATACATCATTAAATGAACATGTAAGTTCATTTCATTACAATCTAACCAGCAACTTGTAAATTATTGCTCAAAATGGTAATTTTCAATTCAAACAAAAATCTTATATTTACTATGGGCCATAACACAAAAGAAATCAAAATGAGATTTTGGTAGTATTTGATAAGCATCATTTCCTTATGATAATATATCTTTGTGCTGATTTTCATTGAAGTCCTAGCAGCCACTTGTAAAATACGGCTCAAAAAGGTACTTGTCCTAATTAAATGCCTTTTTTATTTTACAAGGGCCATAACTCAATGAATCTTGAATAAAAATTCTTGCCAAGTTTCAAGAAAATTGGACAAATGGATTCCAAGATATACATCAGGATAGATTGTTAACACCATTTCAAAATCCATGCAAATTTCATTTGAAGGGATAATAATATAAGAGCATCCAAGCTCTTCCTTCACAAATAGAGCTGGAAAGTCGCCATATGCCATAGTGTTGAGTGTGTGACTTAAGACCAAACAAAACAAAATCAATAAACACATGCATGAATGATTAATAATCTATTTTTAAACTACACCTATGGATGATAAATCATTATTACCTCCCTGTAGCCAGCTGGTATTCCTGTCGTGGACTACTCTGAACACTGCAAACACCCATAGAATGCCTGAAAATATTACCATTATGTTGTCTATATTATTAACTTACTTGTAACATTTATAACATGATGAAATGATCACAAACCAACAAAGTATTTATAAGATATTCAAGTTTATAAGTTTAGGAAAATAATTACTGGTGTGGAAAAAAAAGTGATCAGATATGCAAACAGTACACATAATGTCTACATGATGAAATGTTGCCCCCATCATTGAAACCAAGGTACATGTTCCAAATATACTACATTTAATACTTGTATACGGTAAATAGCCTGGGTTACCGAGGATGTGTTGCCCCAATAAACGTATTTCACTTAAGTGTTGTTATATGTTTTTGTCCTTCAGGATCATTGATTCCAGTTCTTTTAAGTGTTAAAAATTGAGTTTGACTCAAGCCAGTGCTAGGGGGCGTGAGGGATGTTGTACCTTTTTATTATCCCTCATGTACAGACTCATCAAACCTAGTCTGCAATTTTCTGTAATTTTGCTGTTTTTGATGCTTCCAAGGGATCATTTTTTTCCAGATATTATTACTAAAATACAATATTTTATAATCTTTATCTTTTATTTTGTAGTATTTTTATTGACCAAAGTAAAATTTGGAAGCTTGGGCCTAAAAAATCAGTAAAATTTGCCAAGACAGCAACACTTATAAAATGTTTAATTAATATGAAAGGGTATCTCAGTGGACATAATACTGTATTTCAAGATTTGGTTAAAATTACTGGCTTGTTTTAGACTACTGTTACATGAAATTGTCAAGACAAAATGGACAGCAAACAGTCTCAGCGTATGAATTTAGAAAGTTCTTAATGAATATGAAAACGTCTGATCAAACAGTATACACTTTTCATAACCAACATCTTCAGAGTCACAGCATTAAAAGATATGAGCCACGTCAAGACAAAACCAACATAATGGGTATGCGACCAGCATGGATCCAGACCAGCCTGCGCATCCGCGCAGTCTGATCAGGATCCATGCTGTTCGCTGTCAGTTTCTCTACTTGTTATAGGGTTTGTAAGCGAACAGCATGGATCCTGATCAGACTGCGCGGATGCGCAGGCTGGTCTGGATCCATGCTGGTTGCAAACCCATTATGTTGGTTTTGTCATGATGCGGCTCATATGAAATTAGAGTTTGTAAATTTTTTCAAATTTTAACCGGTTTTAATGCAAATGGTGAATAAAGCAATTTACTAGTGGCATACTTCTAATACTGGCATTTATCTGTAATTTTTCAAATGACTAGATTGAAAAGCTGGCATCAAATTGTGTAAACAGGGTTTAAAAACAATTTCACAAATAAAATGCTTTTACATACAGCAACTGGTTGAAGAGCAAATCCTAAATCAATATATTAAATGGAAGATGAAAATTTATATTGTACTTTGTTTTATTATTAACTTTATATATTTTGAAAAATTGACGCACCTTTTACTAGTCAGTACTGGACTTTGTGGTTCTATTCGAAGATCCCATACCTTCAGTTTACAGTCATCACCACCTAAAATATACACACAAAACAAGCAATATATACACAAACCATATCAAAATCTTTATAAGCTGAAAATAAACAATATCCCTGTTCCTTCTAAACAGAATTTTTAATCTGGCAACAAGTATGTATATTAAAAGAAGACATTATTAATGTTATTTATCAATGGTGATTGGAATGAATTACTTCATTGGATGCAATGAAAATAATAACATAATAAACTAGAACTATCACTAAATGTGATTAATACCCCAACAAGACTGCTTCGGAAATGAGGATGTTACTAGTAACAGAATACCTTGTAAAAGAATTGAAATATGTTATGCTCCGGACAAGGAAAATGCAACGGATGTCTGGACCGACCGACCACCGGGTGACTCCTATTTTATGTTTGTGGGCAATAACAGATAGTTGTGGTTCTTATATGTTGCATTTCCTTTCAATGTGGTTGGCCATTGATGAAGTTTAATTGAATTACTCTGTAATAAGTCCAGAAAGACAAAGAAAAGGAACAAAGGGCAATAACTCTATAAATACTGAAGATAGAGTTATAGTTCTTGTGCACTGCACTTCCTCTTATTGTGCTTGACCATTGTATGAAGTTGTTTTGAATTCCAACCAGTACGTTTTAAGTTATGCTCCTGACAAGGAAAAGTATCAAAGGGCAGTAACTCTGTATTTTGTCAAAATGGAGTTATGGCTCTTGTGCACTGCACTTCCTTTTAATGTCCTTGACAACTGTATGAAGTTGTATTGAATTCCAAACAGTAGTTTTCAAGTTATGCTCTGGACAAGGAAAAGTAACAAAGGGCAATAACTCTGTAATTAGTCAAGATGGAGTTATGGTTCTTGTGCACTGCACTTTCTCTCAATGTGCTTGACCATTGTATGAAGTTATATTGAATAACAACCATTAGTCTTCAAGTTATGGTCCGGACAAAAAAGGCAATGGAAAAGCAACAAAGGGCAATAACTCTGTAATTACTTTAGATAGAGTTATGGTTCTTGTGCACTGCACTTCCCCTTATTGTGTTTGACAATTATATGAAGTTGTTTTGAATTCCAACCAGTAGTTTTCAAGTTATGCCCCGGACAAGGAAAAGTAACAAAGGGCAATAACTCTGTAATTAGTCAAGATAGAGTTATGGTTCTTGTGCACTGCACTTCCTCTCAATGTGCTTGACCATTGTATGTAGTTATATTGAATTCCAACCATTAGTCTTCAAGTTATGCTCCGGACAAGGAAAATGCAACGGATGTCTGGACCGACCGACCACCGGGTGACTCCTATTTTATGTTTGTGGGCAATAACAGATAGTTGTGGTTCTTATATGTTGCATTTCCTTTCAATGTGGTTGGCCATTGATGAAGTTTAATTGAATTACTCTGTAATAAGTCCAGAAAGACAAAGAAAAGGAACAAAGGGCAATAACTCTATAAATACTGAAGATAGAGTTATAGTTCTTGTGCACTGCACTTCCTCTTATTGTGCTTGACCATTGTATGAAGTTGTTTTGAATTCCAACCAGTACATTTTAAGTTATGCTCCTGACAAGGAAAAGTATCAAAGGGCAGTAACTCTGTATTTTGTCAAAATGGAGTTATGGCTCTTGTGCACTGCACTTCCTTTTAATGTCCTTGACAACTGTATGAAGTTGTATTGAATTCCAAACAGTAGTTTTCAAGTTATGCTCTGGACAAGGAAAAGTAACAAAGGGCAATAACTCTGTAATTAGTCAAGATGGAGTTATGGTTCTTGTGCACTGCACTTCCTCTCAATGTGCTTGACCATTGTATGAAGTTATATTGAATTCCAATCATTAGTGTCTTCAAGTTATGGTCCGGACAAAAAAGGCAATGGAAAGCAACAAAGGGCAATAACTCTGTAATTACTTTAGATAGAGTTATGGTTCTTGTGCACTGCACTTCCCCTTATTGTGTTTGACAATTATATGAAGTTGTTTTGAATTCCAACCAGTAGTTTTCAAGTTATGCCCCTGACAAGGAAAAGTAACAAAGGGCAATAACTCTGTAATTAGTCAAGATAGAGTTATGGTTCTTGTGCACTGCACTTCCTCTCAATGTGCTTGACCATTGTATTGTTATATGAATTCCAACCATTAGTCTTCAAGTTATGCTCCGGACAAGGAAAATGCAACGGATGTCTGGACCGACCGACCGACCACCGGGTGACTCCTATATACCCCCCCCAAACTTCGTTTTTGGGGGTATAATGATTGTATGTCTTCACCCACACCATTAACAAAATTTAAATTGAATTTGGGACTGTTTATTGCTTATACGAGGGATTTCAATATGACAGCGCGCTTAGCTATTCCCAATGCTTGACAGCAAGGAAAGGGGCATAACTCTGTTAAAAGGTTACTCAGTGTAATGGGACCTGTGCTCATCATGTTAGGTCAACAAAGAGAACAAGTGTGATGAGCTTCAACTCATTCCATTCAGTTATTTTGAAGATACCAAAACTTAATCAATGTGTGACGGCGATGCAGACACTGACGCCAATGTTGAGGTTAGTACAATAGCTCTCCCTATTAGTCTAATAGTCGTGCTAAAAAAGCAACCAAACACTATAGAGTCCTGTCATCTACACTGATCACAGGAGCAGGTTTCTATAGTAGACAGCATTCAAGGATTAAAGCAATGTCACTCAATACATGTTATTAACTTTAGTCTTCCGGCTGCAATTGAATATACCCATACGTCCAGTGCAGTCCAAGATCAGCTGCCAGCACACTGCATACTGTCTAATCATAGGTATAATTTTATTGCCAACAGCAGGCTAAGAAAATAACATACCTGAGTAAACAACATCAGTATTCCACTGATCAAAAGCCGAGATCCAGGCTTCAAAGTCGTGAGCTTTCCAGGAAACCAGCTCCCTAATACAGCTCTCACACATCTGATGTACATGAAGGCCACCTTTGGAATCTGAACTTGCTATTCTTGCTTCTTTTCTATAAATAAAATAATTAATTATTATTAACATATTGTCCAACACTGACAGGCAACATAATCCATTGGAAGATAAATATATAAAATTAAATCACTGTTTGCCAATGACAGTGACCTTCTTACTTTTTTCACAACAGCCCATGCCTTCTGAATTAGTGTTAAAAGTCCCACCAACACTGAAAAGTTTATATACAATGTAGTGACTTTCCACCTTCAGTGACCTTGATAACTCTGCCATGCAGGTCCTACCTTGGAACTTACCATCTATTAATTGACAAATTTTCTTCATTTGTTTAGTTTAAGATACACTTAATATAATAATTTTTTAATGAATGATTAGAATTTTCTTAATTTTTTGAATGGTTACTGTAATACCTTGCACTTAACATGTTATCCCACTCCAGTGACAATCCAAGGCAGTCTTCATCCAATATCTCCTCTGTGACCATCTCCATCTCATTGTCAACATTTACAGTGAACACTTTTAACTGACCAACTGAATTTACAACAGCAAAACATGGTCCACTTTGTAAAAGCTGATATGACCACTTGACGTCTAAAATTCCCGGCATATCTAGACTGGTACAAAGATTCAGCCGAGGAACACTGGACTGGTTCTCAAGTTTATAGAGATACAGACGACCAACTCTCACTTGTCCTTTCTTGTCATCACATTCATCCTGAAATGAAAGGACTGACAATATTACAGCTAGCTAGTTAACAAAACAACTTTTTGTCACCTTAGTGCAGTAACAGTTTAACTCCTTATATAGTTCAGTAAGAGTTAACCTGTTACTGCACTAAGGGAACGTATAGCTCATGTATGGTCACACTTTAAACATTTGTGAACATAGATTCATTTTTAGAAAATAATTTAATTAAATAGGAAGCACTTTAATTTCTATAATGCATTGTAATCTATTTACACCACTTGTAAAATACTTTTTTGTGAAGAAATTTAAAGAAAAATTGTGTTTTCATAGGAACAATTTTACAAGTATTCGAATAAGGTCTAATACATCTACTTGACAAATTGTATTCTCTTTTAAAGCATTGCTTATAAAGCCTCTTAATACAGTCTTAGAGTGGCGGTGTGGCCAAATGATAAACACGTCAGACAAGGCTGTGTGGGTTCAAACCCTGTCAGGGACAAGCTGTTGTTTCTGTCAGCAAAAACTTTACGTTGGTTTCAGGAACTGATTCAAAAGCGTTTCAATAAGCTTATAGCTTCTAACACAATCAATCTAAAATAAATTAGAAGTCATGAAAACTAAACTAAGCCTCACACATTATTTAACACTAACATTTGAAGCTATCAGGAACATTTGCCTCAAGACTTTACAGAATTTTTAGAGATACATGTATCTTAAATAAATGAACCAGCATACATAAAATTCTGCAAAATAAACATTCAGTACATGTACTATATGTTACAATGTTTGAGTGGTAAACCAACTGGAAAATAGTGTTTTCCAAATTAGGAATGGAGACTGGTCCATAATTGTTAAGCTTTAAATGTGAAACGATATAACCACATGTTGATATCTTGATCAATTCTCACCTGTTTTGCCTCTTCAAGCTGGTATGTACCACATAACATTAAGTCCTGGAAACCTTCTACAGGACACCATTCAACAGAGTCCGCACTATACACAGTATCTATGGTTTCATGGGTAATTGCTGCCATGACTTTCACCTTCAATATAGTTGCAAACGGTATTCTGTTTTGTAAATGTATATAGTAATCTGTGAGCTTTTCTCAGTTTAAGTTCAATATTATTATATCATTCTGTTTGCAATATCGAGCAGAATTTTTGTCATAAATAGACTGGCAGATAATTGACTAGTGCTGCAGGAGTAAAACATGGTCAAGTACTAACCTGTTTTTCCATATTTAACTACATGTACTAGCTTTAAATTTCCTAACATGAAGTAGATGGCAAATGACAATGATCATATGTCAAGCTGAGCAATTGTTTTCTACCAAAAAACAGTCACTTTTGTAAATAAACATGTATGAAAGTTTATTCAAGGACATCATTATAATGATCATTCAGGCATTTCTCTATACATAAGTGAAGCAAAAGCACCCCAAACAGTACCAATGCATGTCTGTTTAGGGTTACTGGGTTAAAACATAATATCAAATTCAAGAATGTTAAGCACTTTACTTCTTAGTAAGATGAATAACTTTATGATTCATTAGTATTTATACTGTTTTTGTTAGGTTATGTTGCATCAACACAATAAATGTCATATGGCTACTTTCAAGCTTTACTGGTGGAGGAAGACCTTGTGTGCCCTTTTGCGCATTATTTCAGACACAAAAGGGCACCTGAGTAGAACCACTGAAGTTCAATATGCTAGCTGGATAGTTTCTTCACATGAAAGAGTCCCAAGTCTCAGGTGGGAATCAAACCCACAGCACTGAAGGGCTAGTGGTTTGAAATAAATGACCCTAATTACTCAGCCTGAAAGCCCCAATACAAGATAAAGGTTTTTATAAAGTTCCAAACTATTTTCCATGTTAAAAAGGGGGAATGACTCTAAAATATTGCATTTGGGATAATGCCTCATGTCTTACAACTTGGCTTTGACATGATAATTTTGTATTTAAAGCTCCTGTTGATATCTTTGATACTTGTCTTCTTAACACTCAATTTGGACTAAACTTCTAAGTTCAAAACAAAACTAAAAAAATACAGCTTTCAAAATAATGCTCCTTGTCTTAAAACTCTGCCTTATCATTAAAAGCCAACAGTCTGAGTTTCCTGTTAAAAAAGCTTTAAAGTGCTTTAAGAGTAATTGGCAGCACAACAAGAGCTGTCACAGGAGACAGCCAAGCTCGACTAATAAAATACTGGACGTAGTAAGGAGGACAAAACTATGAAAGAAAAATCAATTATGTATAATTGTGTATTAAGTTATAGTAAAAAAATAACATTTGTTAAAATAAATTCCAAGATCAAGGGAAATAATTCTAGAAATAGTCACGCTAGAGTTATGAACCTTGTCACACAACATGTATGTAATGATAAGAAGTATATATTTGAAGTTTGAAGTAGATACCTTAAAAAGTAACAAAGTTATAATATTTCTTAAAGAAAATCCTAAGTTCAAAGAGAGATAAATCTGTAAAAATTTCTTCAAGAGTTATGAACATTGTCACATAAAATATTATTGATTATAAGGAATAAGTATTTGAAGTTTGAGGTAGATACCTTTAAAACTAAAAAAGTTAAAGTAAAAAAAACATTTTTCTAGTAAAAAAATCTAAGTTGATGGGGAGATAATTCTTGCAATATTGGTGCTAGAGTTATGAACCTTGTCACATAAGATGTGGATGATGATAAGGTACATTTATTTGAAGTATGAAGTTGATCCCTTTAGAAATAAATAAGTTAAAGTAAAAAATAATATTTTTTAAAGAAAATTCTAAGTTCAAGGGGAGATAAATCTTAAAATATTGGTGCTAAAGTTATGAACCTTGTCACATAAGATGGGGATGATATTAAGGTACATATATTTGAAGTATGAGGTTGATCCCTTTAGAAATAAAGAAGTAACAGTAAAAAATAGTATTTTTTAAGGAAAATTCTAAGTTCAAGGGGAGATAAATCTGAATATATTGGTGCTAGAGTTATGAACCTTGACACATAAGATGTGGTTGATGATAAGGAACATATATTTGAAGTTGATACCTTAAGAAATGACAAAGTTATAGTGAAAAATATTTTACTGCACCGAAACTTTAATCTGAAATCTGGACGCGGACGCCGACGCATGGGCGAGTAGGACAGCTCTCCATATACTTCGTATAGTCGAGCTAAAAATGACTGCAAGTACAACAACAACCCAGCAATCTTAATTACTCGAGTTTTTCTTCAAATCAGAAAAGCTTTTAAAATGGATACAAGAAACATGGCAATGCCATGAAACCAGGTTTTCAATTATCACCATTGTAGATAAATATGTTGTATTTGAAATACAAATACAAGCAACAAACAATGTAACTATGTGCAATGTAAAACATGAATAATGTAGGAGGAATTGCCACTGAAGAAGTGTTCACTATAATATTATGTATAAGGAAAAAAACAAAGGGCCATAATTAGGTCAAAAACTATCCAATCACAAAACCCCGACAATATGTGCCAGGGTGCTTTTGATGACAAAGCTTCTGTGAAAGTTTGAACAAAATCCGTTGAGAAATGTAGGACGAGTTCAGCACAGAAGAATTTGTTCACTATAATTATATTGATAATTCTGTATAATGAAAAACAAGTTACAAAGTAGACATGAAATAATATATCATATCTTTTTTAAATTACCTCCAAAGATGATATGACCTTTGACTGCCAAATCAAGTTAAAATCATGTAAACAGGATTTTCAATGTTTATGTCACTGTGACCTTGACCTTGACGCCAGCCATGCGGAACATGCGTTCTGCACGTCATCTTGATGTGGTAAACATTTGTCTGAAGTTTCATCAAAATTCTTCAAAGGGTTGAAGAGTTACAGAGCGGACAGGATTTTCAATGTTAATGTCACTGTGACCTTGACCTTGGAGCCAGCCATGCGGAACATGCGTTCTGCACGTCATCTTGATGTGGTAAACATTTGTCTGAAGTTTCATCAAAATTCTTCAAAGGGTTGAAGAGTTACAGAGCGGACACAATTTCGTTTGACGCCCGCCCGCCCATCCGCCCGCCATACCCCAATCTAATAACCAGGATTTTCAAAATTGAAAACCTGGTTAATAAAGTACTCCTGACAAAGTCTGCTAAAAAAAAAACAATCTCTAAAGAAAGAAATATAGAGTTTTTCCATGGAGGAATTATTCTCGAGTAACCATCTGCCTGCTGCCAATATTTGTCAATCTATTAATAACTTGAGATTTCTACTTGAAAACTTGGTTAACACTGACATAAAAACAATACAAGGGTTATTGTTAGACAATATTTATTACAAATTATATATCCACAATTCTCTTTATACATTCTTTTTTCAAGAGATATACATTTTGTACTCTTAAAATAAACCTGAAAATATAGTTGGGATAATTCAAAGTCTTCCATCAATTACTAAGATTTTACCAATTCAAAATTTATATATTTTTTTCTCTTAGTCAAATATTGATATGTAAAACTACATGTATCTTTTTAACAATGTCAGATAATGCTACATCATGAAGGCAAAGCAGACAATTACATATTATGCCATTTGTAAGAATTTTTACATTCAGTCTTCCACAATTCTAAATACACAATATTTATAATGAATGATTAAAATTCTAAATCATTTGAACACATTGGTGAAGCTGTAATGTAATGTTAATGACAAGATCTATTTATCTATATATGTGAAATTAAATTCATTGACATCATGGGTAACTTGATTTTTCATTTGAAGTAAATCAACAAAATAAACACATTCATATACATGTAGTACCTGCAAGTTACAAATATCTTCAGCATGTAACTTTTGTACATGGCTCATATTTTTCAGAAAAAAGTTATATACTTGATTTGTAGGGATTTTATTTTAAAGAAGTTCTACATTATAATGTATTGTGTCTTACAGCTTTATGGAGGTAAAACGACTCAGTGTGTATATGTATTATTTTAGAGAAACACATAATGCCCAAGGTTGACTTCTATTGGGTAGCTGGACAGCTTCCTTGCATTTCCCAAATTTATTAAAGATCCTGTGACACAACATTTTTATGGTTTTATATCATAAATATGATGCTCAAATTAAGATTTATCAATATAGTAAGTTCCAAAAAGCATTATTTGTAAAGATATTGAATGTTAATACGGGAAGGTAACATTAGAAATTTATTTTGTATAAAGTCTAGTCAAATTTGTCAATAAGAAATGAATGCATATATTTTAATGATTACATATAACGTGGACAAATATTTGCAGTAAATATTTTACATATTCTCTGATGTTTGAAAAAGTTTTGTATGCATAATTATATACATATATAACATTTCACTTAAATGTGGTAACAATCTCAATTACAACATTAGGATCTTTAAGCATGTTGCTAGAAATTTAGTTTGAGAAAAAAATAATTGTAAAGTGATTTCAAGAAAATGAATGCAGAACCTACGAAAAAATAAGTTCAGGAAATACCATTGATTGCTAATTAATCTACAAAATTCTTGATTTTTTGTGGTCAACATGTGAGACAGATTATACATGACTCATGAATGTCTAAAATGGTACAGTACAATAATAAATTATTAGAATTAAATTATTTTAAATGTAAATAGTTATTAAAAAGTGCCCTTGTAAAGTAACAGTGTTACAAAAGTAACAATTTCCTTTTTTTTCAAATCATATAATTACAACAAATTATTAAAATTGATTAAATTGGTAAAGGCTAGAGCACCTGATAGTGTCCAGCACCTGAAGTACAGGTAAATTATAGAAATATTTTACAATTTGGCTTTTAACAAAAGTATGGTCAACACCATTTTTCTATGCATAACAAATAATCTAAACTTTTACATTTTACATTTTTTTTTTTTCTATTGAAAAATTGAAGTCAGCATTTCACTTCATTTTAAAATCCAATGACACACCTAATATGAGTTTTCCTCTTGTTTTTCTATAGATGTCCTTTACTTTTAACACTAATCACTCATCATATCTGTTAGATAGCCAATCACATTAACAATAAATTAATGCAACATTCTTCTTAATTCTTTTATGAAATTCAGTATAACTATAAGTTTCAGAAATTCAGTATAAAGATTAGATCTGACGAATCTCTGTCAAAATTGGCAATACCAGATGCATGCCACATTAAATAAGGTCACATGTATTAATTTTCTTCTTTCAAAATAGGTTGCAACACTATTGCAGAACATCACTGTTCACAATTTCAACAATAGCCATTTTGAAAGATAATCCTTGGTCTTACTTATCTGTATTATTTCAGATTTAATACTGAAATACATATACTTTCATCATGATCATAAGACAATAACATAAAGACCACAAGTGTATTAGCTTCTTGCACTTCTTTCACACTCCATGAGACATTCACGAACAAGTATTCTTGCATGCACAATGCCACGTTTCAACCTTTCTGCAGAGGTTCGGCTCCCTGCGTATGTTGGTCGTATATCCCTACCCATGTCCTCTATCACAGCCAACAGTTGTGAGTATTTACTCTGACTTTGTAACTGCTGAAGTTGCTGCTGATGTTGTAGCAATAATTGTTGTTGCTGGTGCTGCTGATTAATAGAGGCTACTGGACGCTGTGCCTGGGACTGTGGGGGTGGAGGTGGTGTGTTTCTCATCTCAATACCAGCATCAGATCTTGGGGTGCCTGGGTTGCTAAAGTTTGGGGTCATGTTGGCCGGAGAGTTGCTAGCAGATTCTAATTCTTCGTTCATATTGATGCCGATTGTTTCACTGCAAGAAAATAAAAAGAAACACAAATTGTTTTAGAAACTTTATTTTCGAAGCATCAATGTACATTTTTCATTTTACTTAGTTGAACTAAATTCCTATAACTTATTAGAAATAAGACTATACGGAGAGAATAATAGACTTATCATTGCTATCAATTTTCATCAATAGATTTGATCTACCTGCATTGATTTTGATGTAGATTATAATTTGTATATTTAATTTTTTTTCACTTTAACAGTTCCACACCATTAAGAGTAATTCCCTAGAGCTATGTGCAGATAGTACATTCTTGCATATCGGACAGGATTATCTACAGTTTACATTAGTGCTAGAAAAATCTGTCTTACAAACACATGCAAGGCAAGTTGGGTGCTTTAAATGATGTCATTGCCGTGCCCTTTTATGAATGAATTGTGCTCTTAGGATGACATCAATTAACCTTTATGAATGAAGTTGTAAGTTTATACAAAAAGTGCGTAATGGGACAACCAGTTTTCGTAATTTCTGTTCTGAGAAAAATTGATATATAATATGCAAGAAAAAAGTATTAAACACCAGCTATTGGTACAGATGTGAATATCTAGCTCTCGGGTAACTGTTAAGCTAAAACTCGGCAGAGGCTTGTTACCACTGTAACAGTTACCCTAGCTAGAGCTAGCTAAAGAGACTTTAGTGAACAGGTTTTATAGTATTGCTAGGCCTGTTATGTTTACTGTCACACAGGATACGTCAAAATAAAAGCCAGAAGCCAGACCTACCCTAAAGCTAGATATTCCGGTCCGTAGCCAGTGTAGATTCTTAATGGAAAACTGTTTTAGCTTAGTTTTCAGTTAATTTCTCTCATTATGGTTCATATTGTTTCAATTATCACCTATTTCGGGGTCGAAATGAAAAACCAGAATTTATCTTGACCGGGCTGACTTAGCTAAAGATACTTCAGCGAACAGGTTTTATAGTCTATTGCTAGACCTGTGCTTTACTGTCGCAACGTCAAAATAAAAGCGACATATAAAGTTATGGAAGCCAGAACCACACTGGCCATAGCTTTCGCAGAAGCGGTGGGTCTACCGGTGCGGCGATGGAGATTTCGTCGCAGAAGCGGTGGAAAAACATGGCTGTCGGATAGATTTTTGCTGGTGTCGGTAAGTTTATGACTTATTTGTACGTTATGTTTTTATGTTCTACTGATAACACCTAGTGAGACTGGAGCCCACATATGTACTCTTCCAACTTATTACACGCATGGGGTGCAAATCATGACCAGTTATGCAAACACTTCTGTACAGTTTGACGAGGGGACGCCACGTTTGCCTAATTTTGTTTATAACACTACATATGTACTAAAAACTACCCCTAGAGATATACTGGCATCGCATCGTATGTATGATAATTACACACAAAACAACCATATTTTGGAACTTTTTGAAATTGATATTACCATTTTAATAAAAGAATTGACAAAAATTGATTACAACGCAGACGGTGGTGGATTCGATTGCAACGCGGTGCGGTGGGCCCGATATCATTTATGTATTATTTTTAACGTTAAAGTCACAAACACTTAGGAGTTGAGCTCCAAACACCTAAAAATACAAATGAAAATATATTTTGTTAATCCTAACACATATAGTTGTTATATATATCAATGAAAGTAAATATACGCTCTTTTTTGCATCATGAACCTTATAAATATGTTTTAATAAAACAATCCCTGTTTTAGATACTAGTTTAACATATTGGGGTGTATGTTAACTACATTTATCACACACCTGTGCCGATTTTGCGTCTCCGTAAATATGGTATGGCAAGGCCGTGCATATATTTTGACGTGACGTCATTAGCGTTATGCTAACATAGTGTAAAGACGCGTTAAATGTTAGCGTTATACTATAGGCGCGTCAATGAAAAATGACTCTTATTTCACTCTAAACGGTCTCTATTTTGGGTATGTGATAAATTTCACTCGTTGAAAAAATTAATATTATGCTCGCCAGAGGCTCGCATAATATAATTTTATTCAACTCGTGCAATAAATTCAGTATTGAACTTACACTTATTCAATAAACTATGTATGGGTTGTTTAAAAGTTCATTATAATGTATACATTAATTATATATTTTTTTTTCTATTTTCAATCTATGCATCATGCACCTTATCAATATGTTTTTATAAAACAATCCCTGTTTTAGATTTTAGTTTAACATATTGGAGTGCATGTTAACTATGCAGTGCTTAAATGGTAATTTTAACTTATAAATTGAGTTAAAAAATACTTAAAGTTTGTATTTTCTTTACAAACTATGCATTCATTTAACTTATAAAATGTCTTGATAAATTGAATCCCAGTTTGGACACTAGTTCAACATATTGAAGTATATGTTAACTATGTATCGCTGAAATGTCAATTATAGCTTTAATTGAATTTAATCTATCAATTTAACAAATCAAAATGTTTTTGTAGTTTAACACACAAGAGTCATCATTAACTATGCATTACTAACACATTGGTCATAAATATATTTTGAACTTTATTATTACTTATGAACAGTTTGTGATAAAATTTTGATACATTAATAAGATGAGATGAGATGCGATGAGATCTGTTGATAGTGACACTACCTTTAGCTTTATTGCTTTATCTATTTCTTTATTTTATTTATTTCATTATTTTGATATAACTTTACATGTTAACATTAAATAATATCAAATTTTTATTTAACGTGTACAAAGCTATAAATAGGCTGCATGTAATATAAAAAATTATAGAATGCATTTTGAAATAAAATATTACAAAATACCTGACAAAAAAGGCAGACGAAAATGTTGTTTATTGGCCTATGAGCGAATTGCACATGCACGCGTTCAAATTATCGTATATTTTTGTTTGTAAATTGTAATTGTAATCTTTAAGTCAGAATTTAAATTGTCGCACTTTCGTTTTTGTTGCTTTTCACGGTCTGTCGTTCCTCCTTTGGTTGGACAGTTTGGTCAAAGTCAAGGTATTTATTAGCATAAACATATATACATGATTCTCGCCACACATAATTGGCGGTTAAATTAACAATAGTTATATAATATTGAAAAGTATGAAAATATATAATTCATGTTTCATGTTCATGTTTTAACTAAAGATGGGCAGTTTTAAGTACACATAAACACATACAATACAAGACATGTCATATTTAACATATCTGATAATATAAGGCAAAAATATGAAAAATAGTTTAAAATACATATTTTATTATACAACAACACTTTCGTTTCTCTTCTATAAAGCCAGATAGACAAATTCTGCAAGTTTAATTATAACAGATCTTTTGGTTGTTGACATAAGCTTATTGAATTTATTCATATTAGGCCATGTGTAATAATAATTATCTAAAAGAGTTAAACGTAATTCTCTATAAAAAGGACACGTTCTATGTCCGGAGATTTATGGAAACCCCATATATTTCAGATCCGTAACATAAAATTGGTAATACCATTGAATTAAAGAGTTTTAATTTATCTTCAATATCTAAATTAACATTATCAAAAAGGGAGTTCAAAGTATAAAGAGCCTTTAAAGCTTGGGCAGACAATGATTTTTGAGCTTGATAAAAACTTCCATTAGATGATAGCGTTACTCCTAAATAAGTAAATGTTTTAACTTGTTTTAAAATTCTATTGTCATACTTAAGCGACATATTTGAAGGTCTATTTACCTTGTCTAAAAACCATTACAACTGTTTTATCTGAATTAACTTCAATACCCCATTTCCTACAATATTTATACAATTTATTAAGTAGAATTTGTAAACCTTGTTCAGAGTAAGAAAATAAAGCAGTAACAATTGCGAGCAACAACAAATAAATTTGTAATTCCTCAATGGTAAAAACATCTATACTATCCGTATCGTCAGCTAAGTGATCTTGCATATCATTAATAAACATAATAAACAACAAGCCCATGTAACTATCAAAAAAGTCAGTTAGTGAGCCATTATTACGTACACATAATTTCACACCCTCATACATGCTTCTTAGAATTTTTAACATTTTACCTGAGAGTTTGGTGGTTTTTGTTGTCCAACTTTGTGTCATCTATTATTATAACGTTTGCTACAATTGTTTTCTATATGAAAGCGTATTTGAAGTTTCTGATTAATCATTGATTATATCATAATCTATTCTTAGACAATAAAGACGTCTGGCTCTGCCAGACATTTTCAACCAAATTTTTATGTTTGTATTTTAACTCTACTGAAGATGACACAAATTTACAAGGAGGAACATGTACCGTGGTAAAAGTAAAACATAAATACATTTCCAAACTTTTCATGAAAATAAACACGAATATTGAGGCGTGCTGCTTTAAAATCCTAATAATTGTATATTTATTAATTCCAGCCCATATACTTATCATATATTTCAATAAAACTTACATATATGCTATTTTGAAGAAAAAATAAATATTTATACGTCAAACACAAGATAAAAAATGTGTTAGAAAAAATCGCACATCCTTCAAATCACCTTGCAATTGATTCTATTTCCAATATTTTCGCATTATCCTTTTGTCAACAGGTGACACGAGTCATCTAATAAACATATATTACTGGTACTTATTATATATTTTCATCATATTTTTCTTTTTCAACAATATCAAACTTCATCTTCAATATACAAACACACAATGTGAAAAAATTTAAACTATCGCCGTTTTATTTATTTACAAAATATTTCAACAAATTCAAGCGTGGCACTCAGCTCTGTCGTATTTAAATGCGGTGCCCTATGAATGTGAGAACCGGCATTATCCCGAATGACTCCGATTATAGCAAGGCTGACTCAAAGCGCATTAAAATACAGCATATCTGAGAGTCATTTTGTTTTCAAAAAAGCGTATATTTACTTTCATTGATATATATAATCAATATGTGTTAGGATTAACAAATATATATTTCATTTGTATTTTTAGGTGTTTGGAGCTCAACTCCTAAGTGTTTGTGACTTTAACGTTAAAAAAAAATACATAAATGATATCGGGCCCACCGCACTGCGTTGCAATCGAATCCACCACCGTCTGCGTTGTAATCAATTTTGTCAATTCTTTTATTAAAATGGTAATATCAATTTCAAAAAGTTCCAAAATATGGTTGTTTTGTGTAATTATCATACATACGATGCGATGCCAGTGTATCTAGGGGTAGTTTTTAGTACATATGTAGTGTTATAAACAAAATTAGGCAAACGTGGCGTCCCCTCGTCAAACTGTACAGAAGTGTTTGCATAACTGGTCATGATTTGCACCCCATGCATGTAATAAGTTGGAAGAGTACATATGTGGGCTCCAGTCTCACTAGGTGTTATCAGTAGAGAACATAAAAACATAACGTACAAATAAGTCATAAACTTACCGACACCAGCAAAAATCTATCCGACAGCCATGTTTTTCCACCGCTTCTGCGACGAAATCTCCATCGCCGCACCGGTAGACCCACCGCTTCTGCGAAAGCTATGGCCAGTGTGAGAACTAGGGCCGACTATGACAGCTAAGGAAGATTCACATATTTGGAGACAATCTCCAAATCGGGAGATGTCTCCAGATCGAGCGACATTTGGCACAAAAAATTACCTACTTTTGTCTCCAGATGAAGAGGCTGTCTCCCGAATCGGCGACATTTTCTGGCAGTGGTGTCTTTTATTGGTCTTTGCGCAAAAAACGCTTGATAATCGCATTTTTTTAGGTTTACCAAGCGAAAGAGCGGGAAAAATTGAGGTAAGATATCCGTGGTTTTGCATATCTTCACCGAGGAATTTTATAATGAAATGTTACAATAAGCATTAATCTTAAGAAATCACTGATGTAATTACTCTTTTTAACTTTTTAAACTTTGTATGTGAATCTTTTCACGGTCCGTCATTTCTATAATAAAATGTAGATGGAAAAAAAAATCAAAAGGTGCCATGTTTGATTGTCTAAAATCCGTACTACTAGGTATACAAATAGGTATGGCTAACTGCTAGACGCGGTAATACGGACTTTACACTACAATATCTTTATACATAAAAAATATTTTATCCAAGAAAAATGTAAATAAAACAATTGGTCCCAATTATAAAGTAGAAATATCGTTTGTCTTTTGCCTCTTTTAAAGGCATAAAATATGTACCAATAAAACAATTAGAATATATATTTTTTTTTCTTTCAGATAAGCAAATATACTGTATAATTTAAAAAAAATGGGTATATTTTAAAATAAATTAAAATCAGGTTTAAATTTAAAAAATTTTTTGTTTTAAAAAAATATAAAATTATTTTAAATAAATTTTAAAAAAAAATATGGACCAACTTTTAAAAAAAAAAATAATTTTAAAAATTTAATTTTTAAAAACATAACCCAAAATTCAAAAAATTTTTTTTAAAAGTTTTTAATCTTAATAATTTTTTAAAGGGGAAAAAAATTAAATAAATAAAATTTATTAAAAAATTTAAAATAATTTTTTAAAAAACCTTTTGAAAAAATAAACAACTTTATTTAAAAATTTAAAAAAAATAAAAATTATTAAATTTCCTACTTTTAAATTTTGTTATGTGGGAAAAATCCTTTTTTTTAACCGGTTTTCCCTTTTATTTTTCTTTAATAAAATTTTAATTGAAAAAAAAAATCAAAAAGGTCTTTTCATTTTTTTCTTTTTTAAAAAAGTAAATAGTTTTAAAAAAATATTTTTTTTAAAAGGACGCCCGGAAGCAAAAAAAAATCAACCCCCAAAATACCAAAAATTTAAATTTAAAACAATGGGGGCCCCAAAAAAAAAGTTTTTTTTCAAAAGGATGAAGACATTTAAGTCTCAGGTGAGTACTCAGAACACTATTCAATATCATCTATCAACATGTAATAGAAATTCAAATATTCTTCTTTGCATTTACCCTTTACAGTTTTTGTAAATAACTCTTCCATAATTTTTGCTTCTTTTAGAGGTTTCAAGTCCAGCATTTGGAGAATTTTTTTATGTATTTCAGCTTTAGATTGGTTGTGAATAGCTTGCTTTTCATTCTTCTCCTCTTCAGTTATATAAATTATTTCTTTCTTGTAAACACTTTCTTCCTGTGAAATAAATTCCTGCAGATACATATCTTTGATAGCTTCACTCTGTGCAGTGAAATTTTTCAAATCATCACACAATTTAATGTTCCCATTTAAGCTTGTATGTGGCTGATTTTTTTGCTTAGGATTCAGCAAATATTTCCTGCTCCTTAACATTTCCCTTATGGGTACAATTTCATTGTTTTCTACTTTTTGTTCTTGATTGTATTTTGAATTTGCAACACCAGATGATGTATCCAGAATCTTCTTTTTTACCTTGAAGAAAAATAAGTATTGAACAAACATGAATTTCATATTTTTGCAGGCAATTGCTTTGCATAGAATGTGTGGAGCACAAGTCTCCTTAACAGTTGTGGCAGAGAGTGGCAAAAAAACCACTCTTTCTCTGCCACAAGTCCTGTCAAGGCATGTGAAGCTACAAGCAGGGGAGAGTTCATTCTCAAAGCAGACAAGACAGATGTCTTCCCCTCCACCACCACAGTCGCATTCCCCGAAGAAGACAAAAGTTATAAACAATATGCCAGGCAAAAAAACCACAGGAAAGAAACTGGATATGAGTATTAAAGAAAGAATTTGTAACAAATGTTCAGTATGCTTTGTCATATTTAATTCTAAGAAAGATCAACAATTCAAAAAGAAGCATGGAATAAATGCTGTCTGGCTGGGTTGTGACTATGATGGCTGTCACTACTGGGCACATGCTGTATGTGCTGGTCAGAAGATAGTTAGTAGGAAAAATATTCCAACTATGAAATTTCTCTGTCCAGCACATCAGTAGTGTCAAGTAGTGACAGCTTTGTGTCAGACACAGAAATTGAGTTTAATGTTTAACTAATTTAGATTTTTATTTTTCTATTTAAGTACATGTTCTTAATTAATTAATAAATTTATTAATTTATTTACTTATTATATTTATTTATTTATTTATTTATTTATTTATTTATTTATTTATTTATTTATTTATTATAAATCTCTCAAATCTTATCTGTTTATAGTACATTTATAAATTCAATTTCATTACACAATTTTGAATTGTTTTCACAAAGTTTACTTATTTATCTTTGTTTGCTTGAATTTGTTTTTAATTCATTAAAATTTTACTACTGAATATTTGTTTTTGTTGAGATTATCAAAATGCCAAAATATGATCATTTAATAGTAAGTAAGTAATTCAAAAATAGCATACTGTCATCAAATTATCCAGATTTCGAAAGACTCTCAGCCATTCTTTATCAGATGGAATTCCTTTTGGTGAGATCCAACATTTGGCCTCTTTGTTAATTTCTTCAAGACATGCATCACCACCCTGGTAATGTCCAGTGTTTCCTGTTCTACTTAGAGTTAAAGAGGACTTCACTATATCTTTCAGCTCGTCAGGCATCATTACCTCAATATATCTACTTTGTGAAATGATCCTCTGATAACGGGGGTGGTTCCTGGCAAAAAATAAATGTGACATCTTTTCACGCCCTGCAACTATAGCAACTGCATTACCCCTACGACATCCAACTCTAAACAGTATCATACTATGAAGATAGGTAAAAACCATCTGCTGTATAAACATATAATTTGGGTCTTCAATATCTGATGCCCATAACCAGTACCCTTCTACAGATGGTTCAATATTTGAAATTTTACATTCCCTTACATACGGTACAAGTAGCTCATCAGCTGCGGCAAGATAGAATATTTCTAGTATCTTCCAGCTTTTGTGGTGATCACCACAACTTTTTGCATAATCTAATGCTTTTGGTGAATTATAACCAAGTTTCATGCAAAAGTCTTTAAGAACAACATCCCATGTTATTTCAAAGAATGCTTTGCATGCGTTCATTTCAATATGAAGAAGTCCAGGTAGTGGTACTAGCCACCCATATTGGTGCTGAGGCTGAATGTTATGCAGTATGCTACATCGATGTTCTAAAAAGTTGTCATAACCATAAAAACCTTCATCACATTGTGTACAGTGATAAACATTAAATATAAGTTTATCTACTATTGAATATATACCTCCATCACATTCTAAAAATAACCATTTTCTACCAGACTCTCTGTCATTAGTAATTCCTGCTCTCTCTGATACATTTGTCAAAATTTCTGCAACATTTTCAAAACTCCCAGGATTGCATAGATCTGGCTCACCTGTTTTAACAGAAAAGTTATGTGTTTCAGTTTCAATGCTTGAAAAAAAAGAATATGGATTTAAATTGTTTTTCTTATCATATATGTCAGAAAAATTTTGGCATTCATGGACCAATGGTCCTTTACAATTAGTACATTTTCGACCTGTGAATTCGTTTTCAGCCCCACAGTGCAAGCAGACCTTTTCCCGACATGCTTTTCTACTTAAAACCGAATCAATAAAATCAAAACTTCCATTTGAATGTTCAAGTTCAACAGACACAAGGCACCTTGATATCAAATTGTTCCTAGTAACTCTAAATACATTGACACAGTTTTCATCTTCACTTAGAAATAAAGCCTTTTGATGGTCATTGGGTTTATCAAAAAGCCAATTACTTGGAGCAAACTTTTCATCATTTTGTATTGTACTTTCTGGGTCAATACAAATATACAGGTGGCTTGTAACAATACTTGTGGGGACTTTACTGTCTGCTTTAATTCTATAAGTTTTTCCAATCACTTGTTCATTGTCAAACACAGTTCTAACTAAACCTTTTGGAAACTCCACTGGAGTGCTAGCTTCATCTGCAAGCCATTTTGATATAGTATCACATACTTCCAGCTGGAGATACCCTTGAGTTATGTGTCAGCAGCTGCTTATTTCTAGAAATTGAATAAATTAAAAGGTTCTCCTGGAATGACAATGGAAGTACTAGCTTAGAATTTCTACAGCCATATATCAATTCAACAATCTTAGCTAATTTGAACTGATTCTCATTTGTGATGTTTCTATCAAAACCACACAATTCTCGTAAAAGACCAACAAGTGCTTTTAGGTCGTTCTATGAGCCATTTCTCAGGGTCATAACCAAGTAAATTGGCTAAACTGCATTTTTCCCTGTTGTTGTATAACTGTGAAATATCAGATTGAATTAAGTCTCTTAAAGATTTAGCAGTGTCAATACAAGATTTGTAATCACTGATGTCCTCATCATATTTTGTTGCTGAAATTGTGTTTTCTTCAGGCTGTGATACAACATAGGATTTTGTACTAGTATTTTGTTCAGCCTTAAGAACACAAGAATGGCAAAAATATACTTAGTTTCTCTTTGAAATTATGTGTTTTTCAAAAAGGAAATCCAAAGTTGAACGTTTTAATTTTTTCCCCTTTTCTATATTGTATTAATTTAGAAGAGGTTAGGTTCTGAGTCATTATGTGTTAAATGCACCACAAGATTTTTTAAATGTCCCTCTTGAATCTCTTTCAAAGATCTTCTGTCTTGTTTTTGGCATAACTCAGCTGAATAGGCATCACCTTAAAAGAAGATAATAAATTAATAGATATTCATGTTATAAAAATACGTCACATTAGTATTTTCTACAAATCACAACAGTCATTACAGTTGTAAATCATTACAGTTACCATTTTTTTTTTTAAAAATTCATCAGTTTAAAATACCGTATCTGAACCAGAACCAACTAACCGGTTTGACAGACATGCTTTTAAAGTTTTGATGCCTGAAATTAATCAGCTGCCTGACAATTTAAGACACATGATGCAATGGCAACAAGTAGCAGGAAGGCAAGTTGATCATGTTCCTGCCAACCTGTGCAGGGTTTTTAACAATTAATTGACTTATTGATGATAACAATATCTGATGTTAAGAGTACTTACATAGGGTCAGTTAGACTTTCAGCGTTAGTTACGATGAATCAAACTTTTTCCAGCCGTGACTGTCCTGGCGGTGGTGCTGAGCTACGAGCCAAATATAGCGAATAGAGCGTGTCCCAGAAGTATGGTTCAGGGAGGCAATGTGTGTCTTTAAAGGAATTTTAAGTAAATGCTGATGAACTTAATATGATTGCTTGCTAAAGCTTAATATAACATACTTCATATAGTTGTTTTAATGACAAAATAAAATTAAAATAAAGCAACATCATTGTCACTTCATTTGGAGACTTCCTGTAATATTTTGTACTCACCTTGGATCTGTCACCCAATCTGGAGACTGTACCCTCAATTTGAGAGAGTCTCCCGATTAGGAGACACAATAATTATCTGTATAACAATGAAAATACTTTACAGAATGAGTCACCCAAATTGGAGACATTCACTCAAATGTGAGATTGTCTCCAAATATGTGAATCTTCCTTAGCTGTATGAGGGGGGATCGTTCACGTTTTGGGACCGGTTACCTGTTCTTCTGAAAATTTATTCACGTTTGTTGTAGGGTATTCAAATCAATAATTTAAATAACGTTTAAGTTATCAAACCCTACTCACCACTTAGAAAATTTCAGCTTGAAGCTTTTTGTATTTTTCTTTTCTTCAGTCAGCAACAATAAATTCTACAGTAGACGGAAACAAAACTATTTTTCTGAAAAAAAGAAAGAAAAGTTTTTGCAAATAAAAATCTTAAATGATTTAGCGACGAGTAATTAAAAAGAGCCGAAGATTATTCTATGTCAAAAACAGTGCTGTAAATAAAATTTATATTAAATTAATACAGTATTCAGAATAAAAAATTCGTCGTATTTTACTTATTGATTTGTTATTACCTTATACTGGTTCTCTAATTGCATTATTTTTACTATGAACCGTAGCCAGTTAGGGATGGAACCAGAACATCACAAATAACGAACTATGTATAAGTACCGAATAACTAAGTACCGAAATGAGTGTTTAAAACGGAAAAGGCATTATGCAGAGCCGTATCCCCACCAAGAATTTCAGAGTTGTGGCCCTTTATTGTTCAAAAAGGAAAATTTTGCATCATCTATATCATAGCAATGCTAAGCAATTCTTTTTGAAAGACCCTGTTTGAACTAAACTTAAAACTTGTATACATATGTGTTATGTCTTCTACTAATCAACTCTAATTCATGATTATAAAGTTTATTCAACTGATCTGAATACATATAAGACAAAGATGACGTCGTCTCCAAGTGACATCGTCGACGTCAAGTAAAGCTATTATCTAACAAGTAAAGCTAGCATTAATTTGTCAATATCACATTTCTCCCATATTTTAAAAGAAATAAATTTTAAAAGTATACCATAGGAAAATAAGATTAAGCATTATAAAATAAAGTTTTGTATCTATATTAATTTGTCTATCTTTTCTTTAAATCCAAAAAATAGTCTTTGAATTTAGATGGTAAACGTCTGGTACGTTTCGAAACTTCACGTTTTTGTGATTGATGTTGTTCAACCTCCCTTGGGTCACTACTGGATTGTTCAGCTTCATTTTCAATTCCATCAGTCCTTGGTTCTTGATCCCTCTCATCCTGTATTATTTGGCTGCAAATGTCTACTTCTGTCTGGGGTACTCAATAATTGTTGTCTCCAACGGTCATCATTTGGTTCATGTAGTAATTTAAATTTCGAAGCATCTCTGTAAATGATACGTCCATCTGATTTTCGTTGTGCCTTAATACTCGAACCTAAAACCTCTGTGACAATGTAATGTTCTTTCTCATATGGTGTAGACCATTTATTCATTTCTCTATTCTTAAACAAAACTTTGTCATTAATTTTAAATTCATGCTGCATAGATTTTGGATGTCTATTTTGATTTTCCCAATTTTTCTTGTATGCTTTATCTCGGTCTGCAATCTCAGCTTCCATTTTCTGTATATCTGTAGGTCTGAATTGGTTAGTACAATCAAGCTTTGTCCTGACATTTCGTTTCATTAAGGCTTCATATGGAGAATATCCTGTTGCTGGATGTGGCGTTGATCTATATCCCATCAACATGTATTTGTATGGCTGTATTGCTTGGTTTTCCTTCACTTCGTGCAATCTTCTCTGTCTTATTCAATACTTTCATAAAGCTTTCAGCTTCCCCATTTGCTCGAGGATGATCAGGTGTTATTCTATGATGGATAAATCCCATTTCTTTTGCAAATTCTGTAAATTCACTGGAATTAAATGGAGGACCATTATCTGATTCCAACCTTTCTGGTATTCCATGTGTGGCAAATATTTTACGCAATCTGTCACAGGTAACTTTGCACGAAGTTGATGTTGTTTGCTCAACAACTGGAAATCTTGTTCGCTTATCAATAACTACTAAATTATAGTGACCATCAGGATATGGACCACCAAAGTCTACAGAAATAGTATGCCATGCTGATTCTGGTATTTCAGATGGTTTAACAGGTTCCTGTTTATGCTCAACAGTTGATAACTGACATTGGTAGCACCGTGATATCTCATCTTCAAACCATGGTATTCAGCCTTTGAAACCAATATTTTGCTCTCAACATCTGTTTCGTTCTTGTCATGCCAAAATGACCCATGCTGTGTGCGGCTTTTTATAACATTCTTCTGTAACGTTCTGGAATTACTATCTGCTTGCATCTCAGAAGTAGTCCTTGGGACTGGTATAAGTCATGCTTAATGAGATAATATGGTTTCATCTCTGGTCTGTTCTTATGGATTTCCCAATCATTGCATTTCATTCTTCTCAGAACATCCTGTAGAACATTATCAGATGTATGTTCTTTCCTTTATGGTCTGTAAAACCACACCATGTTCATTATTGATAATCATCTTGATTGTTTTTTTCTGTATCATCCATATCTTGTTTCTGGAAGTGGATGACGCGATAAGTAATCCATCGGATCTGCTGCATCTTTACCTGGTTCATACACTAATTCATAATCAACATCTTGCATTTCCATGATCCATTTCTCAATCCTTGGAGGTAACTTAGCACATGCTTTATTGAACATAGGAATAAGAGGCTTATGTGCTGTAACTATTTTAAATTTTGGTGCTCCTAGTAAGTACATGGAAAATCGTGTCTTCGCCCATTTCACTGCTAATGCGTCTTTCTCTGTTTGAATGTATCTCTTTTCAGCACTTGACATTGATCTGCTGATGTAATGCACTGGTTGCAAACCTTTGCTTGTCCTTTGAAAAAATCCCGCTGATAATCCTTCATGGAAACTTGCCTCAGTTCTTACAGTTATAGGTTTCCTTGGATCGAAAAAACACCATTGTATTCTCATTTGTAATGCTGTCTTTCAGCTTCTGGAAAGCCATATCTTCTTCATGACCCCATTGAAATGGTACATTTTGCCCAGTCAATCTTCTCAATGGTGCTGTCAAAACTGCATATCTTGGAATAAACTTTGACAGATATCCAATCATGCCTAGAAAACTTCTTACTGCCTCTCTAGATTCTGGAGCTTTACATTCTTTAACAGCTCTTACTTTTTCTGTAGTTGGCTTAAGTCCTTCGCTGGTAAATCGATATCCAAAGAACTCCATGTCCTGTACACAAAATTGGCATTTGTCTTTATTGAATGTGATACCAAAGTCTCTAGCTCGTTCAAGTTACAGCTTTTAGTGTTTTGTTGTGATCTTGCATAGTCACACCTCCAATGAATATGTCGTCCCTTTGGTTCAGACATTTAGGAATATCCCCAAAATTCTAAACATAGCCTCATCAAAAAGATCCTATGAAGATTTTGCTCCAAATATCAATCTCCTAGGTCGCATATTACCCCATGGTGTACTAAATGTAGCAATAGCTCTTGACTCTGGATGAAGTGTTAGTTTGATGGTACCCTTGTTTTAAAATCCATTTTTGAAAATATCTTGCAATCATGAAACTTACAAGTAAAATCTTCAATAACTGGTGCCTGTAAAATTCTGTTTCGCTCCATATACTTATTTGGTACTCTCAAATCTACACACGCCTTATCATATGCGGTCCCAATGACTCTTTGCTCACATTGCAATATCTCGGCTTTGGTTGGACAACCAGAGGTGAACACCATGTTATAGGCTCTCCTGGATCTACCCACTCAAGATTTCTTCCTTTATGCACTGATCTAACCATGTTCGTAAAGGTGCCTGAAGGTAATATGGCACTGGTCTAGGCTTTTGTGCAACAGGTGTAGTACTTTCCTCATCGAAAAATTTCACAAGAAATTCTGTATTGTTTTTCTTATCCTCAATTTGTCCTATGCCATGAAAAACTTCCTGATGACAGTTCAATATTCATCCAATTCAGATCGCGCTTGTATATTCAGAATGGAATTGACTAAGTGATTATTTCCAATTCTCAAATTATTAGGTTCCTTCAATGACCCATCTGGTCGTATTTCTAACATGCCCAGATCAAAAAGTGTCTTTTTGCTCAACAATGGTGGAGAATTTATTTTCCCTTCAATAACAACAAATGTTGTTTCAGTTCCTCTTGTCTTCATTCCTTACTGTAGCTCTGAAAACACCAGATACCTTCAGTCTGTTTTGGAGTGTATTTAATTTCAGTTTGGATTTTCAAGAACTATATTTTCTGAAGAATCACGCAGTAATTTACGAAAATGATGTTCGTCCATAACATTAACATCTGCTCCACTGTCAGGTTCCATGTGAACAATGACATCATTAATTACAATTGGAACTGTTTTTATTAAATCACCTACTCTGTGAATTTCTACTTTACCAATTCGAAGATGTTTTACCGAATCGTCAACAAAATCAAGATCTTGAATATCTGAATCATCTGTATCTGACTCACCAGTGGCACATCGAATATCTCTACTATAAGTTCCTCTGGTCTGTCTGCCAAAAGATCTATGTTTCTGCTGTGCATTAGAGAAACAAACTGCCCCGAAATGGTTCCTTTTCCCGCATTTACTACATATTTTACCATAAGCAGGACACAATTCCTTTGTCGTGGGTGTATCCTATTGCAGTATTTACAAAGTCTATTGTTATCTGTTGATCTTGAATCTGTATGCTTGCTCTCGTATGTTTTCTTTCTGCTTATTTTAGCAACATCATGGTATTTCTTTGACCCATTGCTCTGACTTGCATCGAAGTATCCTCTTTGACTTGCATCTCAGTCAAAGTTTCCTGAAGTGTCCACTTCTTGTGTAACACATTGCGTATAAGGTCTGCGTTATCTGTTGTTTGAATAATTTGTTCCAATATCTTGCATCAATGTCATGAAAGTCGCAATTCACAGCTTTTTTCTCGCAATCTCGCTGCATATGCTAGTGTACTTTCACCCTCCATGGGTCTCATTTTCAAAAACATATATATTGAATAGTGCACATTCTTCTTCGGTGCGAAATAATCTGATAATTTATCTCTTAGCTTTGTATAAACATCACCCTCACCTGGGTCTTGGAGGCTCTTACTCAATCGCCTTATCTCCTCACCACCAAATATCAGCATTGCATCCTTCTTGTCTTCAGGCTCCTTAATGCGGAAAAATCTCATTTCACGCTCAAGTTCATCTAACCAATCATCCCACCTATCACCCGTTGCTATGTGGTCTTCTGCCACAGTAAACGGAGAAATCCTCAAGCTTCTACCTCCTTCAGCCATGATGTTAAGTAAATCAACAAGTAAACAACATCATAAAACCTACTGGAGTTGTTTATCCTCGTCGCCAATGTTATGTCTTCTACTAATCAACTCTAATTCATGATTATAAAGTTTATTCAACTGATCTGAACACATATAAGACAAAGATGACGTCGTCTCCAAGTGACGTCGTCGATGTCCAGTAAAGCTATTATCTAACAAGTAAAGCTAGCATTAATTTGTCAATATCACAATATGATTGTATTTTATTTTAACCAAAGTCAAGTCACAGATAGCTAGGTTTGTTTTTATCAATCACTTGTCTAATATATAATGCATTACTCAGTTGTATACCCTGAAAAGGACTAAACAGATGCCAGATTAGACATCACATTATTTCAGGCACAAGAGTAGAACCACTGTCCTAAAGGTTCTGCATATGACGGCCAATAGTCAAGTCCATGGCAGTAATTTGACCCATTACGGTAGTGATCGAGAAGCAAGCGATTAAAATCAGCTTAAACTTCTTTGCCTTTTAATATCTACTTGTGTAATTCACCCTTACCATGCTTATCAATGATATCTTTAATGGACTTGTCCATATTTTAATCTGGACAAAATCATTCCTTCTTTTTAGGGGAAATTTGAAAAATTTGAATACCTTGAATAGTTTTGAGAAAAAGGCAAACATTAAGTCAAACTTGGGAAATAACAAAACAAGAAAACTTTGTAGATTATCTCCCCCTTACAAATGCATTTTATATTTGATAATGAACAAGTTATCCAAGTTTAAAGTGAATATTTTTTTAATACTTTTGAGAAATGTACCTTAACAAAAAAAGTTTACTTACCCAAGAAATTCAAAGTAAAAATGGGCCATAAATGAGAAAAAATAATTATTTAAGTTGTTTGCCCTTTAGAAATGCATTCCAAATTAATATTCCAAGTATGAAGTGAACAACTTGGGCAGTTTTAAGAAGAAAACTATCAAGTTGAAAAAAGGGGCATAACTTTGCAAAAAGGAATTTTAGGATTATCTGCCCTTCTAAAATATTGTCTTATTTTTGATAGTGAAAATGAATATCAAGTTTGAAGTGAAAAGCTTTTAAAATAGACCTTAACAAAAAGGTTCACCAGGGCTAAAAATGTAAGCTGAAAAAGGGGCATAACTTTACAAAAAACAATTTTAGGATTTTCTCTTGAAGTGATGTCCTTTTATGTCAATAAGCATGTATACCAAGTTTGAACAGAACAGCTTTAATAGTTTTTGAGAAAATGGATTTTAACGAAAAGGTAAACCAACATCAATGAAAGGGTCATGACAATAGCTCCGTATGTTTTAAAAGGGATGTTGTTTCAAAATC